TTGTGTTTTTGGTAATTGTAGAATTTATCATACCTGGATTATCTCATTTCATTCTACAGGATGGATATTGACTACTCACCAACTGGACGAGAATTTGTCACCGGATCTTATGATAGAACTGTTAGTTCCTTGACTTTCATTTTTAATCATTTGATGTTTGGTCTTACTAAGAATGATTTCCTATCCATTAATGATTTCTCATATACAGGTCAGACTTTTCCAGTATAACGGTGGTCACAGCAAAGAGATTTATCACACAAAGAGAATGCAAAGGTTCACTTACTTTACATATGAAATTGAACATTATATTGTTTTATTACCCATGTTACTTTTCAACTAATGTAAACCTTGGAGGTGTAACAAGATACTATTGCAGACAAAATATGTTAGGAACCAAGAATTAGAGAGAGAGAATGAAAAGAAAAATAAATAGGAGATCACTCTCTCCTCCAAGGTTTTCCCCTTCACATTGGATTATTTCTTTTACAGAGAGCTAATGCTCAATCTACAAAATGAACATCTCCCTCTTTACTCTAGTATCATCCTATTACAGATATGTTTGGCCTGACCTGTGATATCCTTCTAATATGTAACTACAATAATTCCCTTTATTCTACATCCTCAATACAACCCTGTCTAAATCAACCTTGTCCTCAAGGTTGCAATGAGTTAAAAATATTAGTGGAACTGATACTTCAATGGTGGTTCTTGTCCCTTTCCTCCTTGTTCCCTCCATTATGCCTCTAATAGCACCTTTTTCCTTCAACAATGTTGTTTTTAGTTACTCAATCTATGATTTTCAAAAGCTGACTATATTGTATTTTGTTGTTCGCCCGCTGTACAATATCATTTGACCCTTGTCAAGTTCAAATTCTATCTCAGTATTGCATTGTTCTTGAGTTTGCTTTGTTGGGTTCATGTGCTGCACCTTGAAGAGCTTTTCAGTGGCAGAATCCATTGGGCTAATTGTGTCACCCGTTTCTCCTGCCCTTGAACAACTGCTGCTCATTGTTCCAGCCCAAGAACAAGTCTCATTGTCTTTCTTGCCCAAGGACAGGTCTTGCTTGTCTTTCTTGTCCAACAAATGGTCTTGAACATCTTTCTTGCCCTTTTCCTTATTCATTCCTTGTTTCATTGTTAGCGTCTCCACCATTTTTATGCAATTTTGCTTCTCAGTTTGCACTTGCATCAAGGTAGTCAACCCTTCTAAGACATGGCTACCATAGCTATCTACAAATCTTTTGATCATAGATATGGAAAATGACTTGCAATATAAATCAAGATTATTTTGGCACCAAACATAGATCAAATACATTGCAACACCCTTCATACTCATGAATGCATATTGTAACTTATGGAATGAATGAATTTCTTATACCTCAAAAATTTTCAGCCTTAGCAACCCAATCAATTTGGTCTGCCCCCCCACAAACCCTGGCAGCCCGTCCATAGTTCCAATGTGTGGTTCCTGCATCTCTAAACTGGCTCTCTCTCGAAGATCCATCAGGTTGGACCAATTTGTAAGAAACCAAAAGAAAAAGAATAGAAAGATTTTTATTGAACAGAATGAAAAGAATAAGAAATAAGAGTGCTATTTCTCCTCCAAGGGTTTCCCTATTAAATAGTACTTCTCCTTTCACAAAAATCTAATGCTCAATCTACAAAATGAACGCCCTCCCCCCTCTTTACTCTAGTATTCTCATATTTAAAGATATGATTGGCCTAACCCATGATATCCCTCTGAGTAGTAACTACTATAATTCCCTTTATTCTATATGCTAACAAAATACTATTGCTGCTAAGATTTCTATAATCTTATGGTAGGCTGATCTTTATCGTTGTTATGCAGGGTATTTTGTGTCAAGTTCAGTGGTGATGGAAGTTATGTGATTTCAGGAAGTGATGATACTAACCTTAGGATTTGGAAGGCAAAGGCATCAGAGCAACTTGGAGTAGTAAGATATCTTGCATTACTGAGATTTGAGTCAATTAATTAAAGTGCAAAAAATATCTTAGGCATCATGTGGCAATGTTTATGTCATTGAAAGATGGATCTCAATTGTGTTTGTTTATATAAATTTTATTTTCATTAATTTGATTTTGGACTTACTTTAATCTTGCAACAAAGGGAAGGCCTACTTTTTTTCTGTACATGGTTCCAAATTCCTGCTTAAGTATAAACATGACACGGTCATGCTTGGACTAGAGTTGGGAGGATCCAAATACATTTTAGTTTAATTGGGTATTCATGCTGCCCTGTCCTCTTTTTGTGTGTTATACATTGGATGATCAATGATTAAGACCCTTAAATCATCATAATTTGGATGTTTGTTTTCCAATTTGTTAACTATTGGTTACTTCTTTGTGATCATGCTACAGATTCTCCCAAGAGAACGAAAGAAGCACGATTATCAGGAGGCCCTAAAGAAACGCTATAAGCACCTTCCTGAAGTTAATCGCATTGCAAGGTATGATTTGATCAAACATTTTCGCAGGAACCGTACATCTCACAGAAACTGTCATAAATTATATATTTTCGCTAAAAGCTCATGCCCTGGATATAACTTTCCTTTTTTTTTTCCCTGATTTGCTCAACAGACATAGGCACTTGCCAAGACCAATATTCAAAGCTTCTGCTTTAATGCGCGTTATGGCGGATGCCAAGAAGAGGAAGGAAGATAAGAGGAAAGCTCACAGTGCTCCAGGGAGTATTACCACACAACCATTACGGAGGCGAAGAGTTATCAAAGAAGTTGAGTAAAGTGAGCCACTATCTAAGCAAAAAATCAAGCAAAATGTTTAGGTGCTGGCTTATATTATTATTACTCCTTTCATCATTCCTCTTGTGGGATGCTCTACCTCTGGACGTGCCTACAGTTTTTGTAGCCTCCTTAGCTGAGTTGCATGTCTAGTATGGCATCCTATATTTATGTATGTACGTAGAAGACTGGTGAAACTAGGTTATATTTTTTTTCATTCTTCTTCTGGGTACCCAACAAGAAAATTTTGATTACTTTTTAACGCACAGCTAGTTGTTCTTATTTTTAGTTCAATTTTGGTAGGATTTCTTCTTTACGGTATGCTGGACCTATATTAAACTCAATGAGCGTTAATTTGTTTTAATCTCAAGATTAAATCTATTTCTATGATTTATAAAACCTAAGTTCGTTCCTTTTTTATATCTAGGTTTGCATTTCAGTTCTTTTATAAATGTTTAATTGTACGGAAAATGCTGGTAAATTATTTAAAGAACTCGAGGAGATACCAATTGAACATCATACTAGTTTAATTTAACAAAATCTTAGAATAGAAATGAGTACTTGCACATAGCCATATAATAAATCAACAAGGTGAAAGCATCAAATCTTAAAGACATAATTCACGTTCTTATTTTAATTCATCTATAAAAAAAGAAGGGGCTAAAATTTTTAACCTAATTAAAACCACAGAATAGTAAAATCAAGTAGTTTTGGATCATGTCATGTCCTGGGCACGTGATCAATTTTGGTTGTCTTGTGGCAGCTGTTACGCAAGTTTTCAAGTTCTTCAGTTTTCTTCATTTTCAATTTTCAGAACCGTTTTATCCTCACCAAGGTCTAATAAACTTCACGATACTTCTTTTATGATTCAAAGCCACTAGAAGTAGTCATAATTTTTATTATTCAATGCAATTTCCGCAACTAGCTCACCTCCAAAAAGCTTTATAATGTTAGAAAACGGAAATTAAAGGAAATATCAGTTCTAGTTCATGCAAAATCATACATGAATTGATACACAAATGATTGTATAAAATGATATGCATCATTATTCATAGAAGCCTAAAATTGAAAAAAAATATATAAGGAGAGAAAAAGCAAATGCATCTTAACTTTGAGAGGAGTGTTTACATCAAAACCATCTCTAAATTTTGTTCATTTTAAATCTCAGAAATTTTTTCCTTTTTACTTGAAAAAAAAAGTCCATGGTGAAATTTGCATTATTTAAAAATTGTTAGGATTTGATATTAAAAAAACGCCAGTTAGATATTTTAAACCAACATAAATTTCTGCCTTAAAATATTGTATTCTTATGTGCAAGCACACCATAGCAAAAATTTACTGTTTATCTCGTTATATTGTGAATTGATATTATGTAATGATAAAATTAAACATTACTAGATGTCTCTTTATACATTGTATGGATTTTAAAATGTGGCCGAATTGCTAACAGCGTGGATTCTACCAAAATGGATTTTTCTTCAATAAATTTAAATTGCAACCCTATGATTCTTCAAACCAAACCAGTTTTGGCTACAAGAGTTTTTCGATTTTTCTCCCTTCCCAATTGTTGTTTTCATCGATTTATTAATCTTTTTTCTGTGCTGCTTTGACAAACCAAAATTCTTTTAACCCCACCAATGTTTAGTTGTAGTCATTTTCATGCACGTAGAAAATTACTAAAATCTGTTGAATTTCACAACAATTATGAGATTTATACTTTTTTCTCTACATAATTTATTATCGTCACATAAACCTTTTACATTCATGTGAAATTTGAAAAGCATTCCAAACACTTCCAAACGTAGCTTTTGATAAACAACAGTTAAATATCATCCCAAAGAGCACAAACAATTTATAATTTATACAGCTAAAAGCGACCCACATCAAAAGCTACAAGCACAAACTTATCATATTAAATGAGTTGTTTCATACAGTAGCAAACTTTCACAAAGGAATTTCAATAGAACATATAATTGCAGTAAAACGTTGAGTTGTGGACATAAACATTCATCTATTGCTTATCCTTCGAGGGCAAAATTTTAATTCCAATTTGGAATGGCAAGCTACAAGTTTTGGAACCTCAGCAATTAACGTGACAACATATGAACGTATCAACACCGCAGGCTTCCCCAAATGATATTGAAGAAATTACCATAAGTTTATAAGGACTAGGCTTAGGAGCATGATGCCCTTGAGTTTCATTTCATAAAACAATTCATTCCAATCCATGGCTACACTTGACTAGGCATGTTGGGCCATCCTCTTCAATTTTTTATCTATCTTTGCTTTCTTGGAAACATCAACTGCCTCAGCCGTTTCTAAAGCCCTCTTATTAGATGGAGTCCGGCCATTAGGTTCTTCGCTTACCATTTTCCGAACAAATAGAGTGTCAGACGTGCCTAATTTTACTAGTTTCTGTGGACGTCCATATGTATCCTAACATAAAGTAACATACATCATTAGTATGAGATAGATCAGCAATTCCAAAGTAAATAAATGTGCTTCAGTGATATACATGTGTAATATCAGTTTATCAACAGAAGTTTTCTCCAGAAATACATGTTTAGCTTTAATACATTTATATTGGGACAGTGGGTTCAGGTATTGGTTGAGAGTGGAATCCACATTTTACGCATTTCATTAGCTCATTATGCAACAAGCAATTTAGTGATATCAAGTATCATTGCACACGTATATATCATACACATACCTTCAATTGACTTCCTTGGACATTTTCATAGGCATCATCCGCCTCTTGTGGATTTTTAAAAACAGCTAAGGCAGAGTAATGTCTTCCTTGACCCTTTTTAGAAGGCTGCAGCAGATTTCATAATGCATCAGAACAAAGCAGAAAAAGCAACCCAGTAGCGGACTGCCAACCAAAGTACCATGAGACAAACCCAATTGTCCTCAAATTGTTGAAACTCACTATTCCGATAATTAAAAGTGAACACATTTAGATAGTCATAGGAAACACTACCTGCAGTTCTGTTTCGAATTCTCCAGGAATAATTTTATGCAGTGATTCTATGTTTACAGTGTTTGGTATCTTGTGAAGAAAAAGTTTTGCCATCTCAGTTTCTGGAACCTGAAAACAGATAACAGTAATAGTATTGAGCTTTAGACACCAAACACCATGAGTACAACTACAAAGCAGTATACCACTGGAGTTGTATATGTTAGCTTACATGATCTTGAACCAATGAAATTGGAAATTCCTTATCAACACCATGTTTGATCTTCGCAAGAACAAGGTTCATAGCTGCACGTGCATCATCTAGACAACTATGTGGAGCACCTTTTTTCCGAACTTCATAGCCCAAAACAGCCTGCCACAACAATATCTGTCATTTGTCTTTATTCTTCTATGTTGCTATAATTTTCTAATGCAAGACACGATGATCAAATATCTTGAAATTCAAGACTTTACATTCAAAACCACCATCATTCCTCCGAAGGGTGCTAAGTGGTAATTTCTCAAAACAATACTTCATAAAGGTTGTCATGCAATGAAGAGCCTTAATTTTTGCACGTAAAAAATTGCCACTAACCTGACATAAACTATTCAAAGAAGGTCTCCTGTGCATAGATCCATCCGAGGATTGGAAGATATATGAAGTGTCGATCACTCTGACATGATCAAGCTTCAGCACTGCAAACAACTGACAATACTAAATAAAATAAAAGTAAAAGAATTTTTTTTTAACAGATGTAGTTCCTTCATATACTAAAAATTTAACTGTAGGTTTGAAGACAAGAAAAATAAACTAAAATGTTTATCAAACTTACCACGTAGATCATTATGCAAACTGTGTCCAACTAATATGGCTCCATTTGATAACAACTTCTTCATGGATTTCTATGGAGGTACAACACATCTTCTTTATGCATGTGAAAAGGGTGATACAGAAAAAGGACAAAGGAAACACAAAATACCTGTATATCAGCCAAGGAGCTAGTCACTGCCTCTAGATCTTGAGAAGAGACACCAGTGATCGTTGTTCTATAGTCTACAATTTCTCTGTCAGGTTTTACAAATTCATTCAGTTTGACCTGAAAAGTTCTGAAAATTATCTATCTATAACCCGAAAAGGAGAATGATTTTAGATACAATTATGTGAATCCTTTTTTTTTTCCGGAAGGGTATGCAATAGAAAGAGTATGCATAAATTACCTCCAAGTTATGGTCTACCACACTAACTTTAACTACTGCTTCAGTCCCATCTTTACAAAGAACCATTTCACAGTCAACAGCTACCATTGCAGTAGATTTCATCACCTTGGGTTTGTTTTTAACGTTTACAACTATCCACCCCTTTAAATCCACATAAAAAAAGTAACATAGACAACGAATTAGAATAACAATTGATGCCTTCAAATTCAAGTACAGATGATGGCAACAAACCTCATCAATAGATGGAAATGAATAGTCCAACGGATATAATGGATGCTGCAGAGTTACTTGGACTAATATCTGTGCTGCCATCATCAGACGGTTACAAAATTTACAGTAAAATTATTGATAAATGCACATGTCAATGAAATCAGCAACATTGTTGAAGTATTTATTAGATTAAGTGTATCTTGTTGGACATTTATGAGATTAGTTGTAGACCTAGTTCCTAGAATGCATCTGTTTATCTTCTCTAGGATTAATCATGTCTCTCTATTAATTGTATCTCTGAATCTGTATTTTTATCTCCTATAAATAAGAAAACACAAGAAGATGATTTCAGGATCTCAAAATCAGTTCTTTATTTTCTTTTTTCTATTTCAAGTTGGTATCAGAACCCACTCTGCCTGTCTCTGTTTTTTTTCTGGCATTAATCGCCGTTCACCGCCGTCCGCCGCCGTTCACCGCCGGTGCTGTCTTCTCAGGCGCCTTTTTCCTCTCTGACACTTGGGTTTGGCTCGCCTCGAGGAGCGCGACCCAACCCCAGTGTTCACTTCCTCTATCTCTGCCTCACGCGCCACCCTCGTCCGCGGCTTCCTCCGCGCGTGGGCCTCACGCGCCGCCCTCTCGGTGGCTATTTTGCTCCAGGCCACCTCTATCCGGCTCGCCTCGTCGCCCCGGTGCCGGATCTCGCACTTTGTTTTGTGTTCTCGGTCACAAAACGTGGTGGGTCTGCGTTTTCTCTCTGCCTCTCTCGGTCCTCTCTCGACAGAGACGCTGGTCCTTTCTTGTTTCCTCGAAAATGTCGGGACTCGTGTCCGTATCTTTTCTCGGGACTCCGACTATAACCACAGAAAAATTAAATGGAAAAAATTATTTGTCGTGGGCTTCCTCTGTTGAGCTCTGGTTTCTAGGTCAAGGAGTTCATGATCATCTAGAAGATGAAAGTACTATACCAGCAGATCAGGCTCCTCAATGGAAGAAACTGGATTATCAACTTTGTGCACTATTATGGCAATCTGTTGAACCACATATTTTGAGCACTCTTCGAGCCTTCAAGACATGTAATTCTTTTTGGAAAAAGGCTCAAAATATCTTTGCTAACGATATTCAACGACTTTATGATTCTGCTAATAGATTAGCCTCCCTTAAGCAAGAGGATAATTCCATGATGTCCTTTGTTGCTGAAGCTCAGTCAGCTGTTGAAGAATTAAAAATGTTCCTGGAGGCAGAATCATTAGAAGAAAGGAGGACGAAGCTGGATAAATTCTATATGGTAATGATTCTTAGGGCTATGAATCCAGAGTTTAATCATGTTAGAGACCAGATTTTAATTGGAGAAGAAGTTCCTTCTACGGAGAGTTTAATCACAAGGCTACTTCGTGTTCCTTCTATCAAAAGCAAAAACAGTCAGGAACTTGCTGATTCTTCCGCCATGATTTCTGCTCGTGGAAGAGGTAATCACAACTCTAGAGGACGTGGTGGGAAAGGACGTCCTCGGTGCTCTCATTGCAAAAGAATGGGACATACTAAGGAAAATTGCTTTGCTCGCACGGCTTTCCCGATAAGGCAGCTAATACCTCAAAATCTGAAGTTGATGAGCCCAAGTTCTCTCATGAAGAGTATCAAGAATATTTAAGGATGAAATCAACCAATTTGGCTCAAGCATCTACAACACCAAATTCGTCAACCGCTTGCATTTCGCAATCTGTGGAAAGTCAAAATCCATGGATTATTGACTCAGGTGCTTCTGACCACATGTTTGGTAATACCTCTTTATTTTCCTCTCTTTCATTTCCTAAAACATCCCATCTCATATCTTTAGCTAATGGATCTAAAGTAGTCTCTAAAGGAATTGGTCAAGTATCCATCTCTTCTTCTTTAAACCTTCAAAATGTTCTTTGTGTTCCTTCTTTTCCATTCAGTCTTGTTACTGTAAGCCAATTAACCAAATCATTGAATTGCTCAATCACCTTTAATGCCAATTGTTTTGTTATCCAAGAACGTGGTACGGGTCGACTGATTGGAGAAGGACGTGAATCTGGAGGCTTATACTACCTTAGGACTAAGTCATTTGTATCTTGTGTTGCATCCTTATCCCCAAAACTGTTACATGAGCGATTAGGGCATCCTCATTTAGCAAAATTGAAAAAAATGGTTCCTGAACTTCAGAACCTTCAAACTCTTGAATGTGAATCCTATCAACTAGGGAAACATACCTAGTCATCCTTTCCAAATCATTTTGAATCTAGATGTGATTATGCTTTTAGTATTGTTCATTCAGATATATGGGGACCTAGTCGTGTTTCATCTTTTGGTTTTAGATATTTTGTTACTTTTATTGATGGGTTTTCTAGATGTACTTGGGTTTATCTTATGAAAGATCGTTCTGAACCATTGCCTATCTTTAAGTCTTTCCTTAATGAAATCAAAACTCAATTTGGAAAAGTAATCAAAGTTTTACGAAGTGATAATGCCAAAGTGTACTTTTCTAATGATTTTTCTAATATCCTAAATTCTCAAGGCATTTTACACTAGTCCACGTGTCCTCACACACCACAGCAAAATGGTATAGCAGAACGAAAAAATAGACATTTGGTTGAAACTGCTCGTACCTTATTGCTGGGTGCCAATATGTCTATTCATCATTGGGGAGATGCTATTCTAACTGCATGTTTTCTCATTAATAGAATGCCATCGTCTTCTCTTGATAATAAAGTTCCACACTCTATTCTATTTCCAAAGGAACCAATTTTTCATGTTTCTCCTAGGGTATTTGGATGTATATGTTTTGTTCATAACATGTCTCCTGGCTTAGATAAACTCTTACCTAAAGCTATCAAATGTGTCTTCTTGGGGTATTCTCGTCTTCAAAAAGGATATCAGTGTTATTCTCCTGAAACCAAGAGGTACTACATGTCTGCTAATGTCACTTTTTTTGAATCATCATCCTTCTTCCCTTATTCTATGCAGGATATTGATTCTGTCCAAAATGTGTTTCCTGTTCCCATAGTTGAATCAGTTGTACCTCCTATTCCTGACACCCCAAATTCCAACCAAAATACTCTAGAATCAGCATCACAGCCTATCATCACCTATCAACGCAGGAACCAGGTGAACAATCCCATTCCCCAAGATGAGCCATCCATAACAGGTCCTTCACCATCATCCTCTAATACCACGGCTCCTGATAATGATGACTCCAGTTGGCTCATTGTCATTCGCAAAGGTACTCGTTCTACTCGTAATCCTCATCCCATTTACAATTTTCTTAGATATCATAGATTGTCTCCTTCCTATTATTCTTTTATTTCCTCTGTCTCCTCTATTACAATTCCCAAAAATGTGGTCGAAGCGCTTGATCATCCTGGATGGCGACAAGCCATGATTTCGAAATGCGGGCTCTTGATCACAACGAAACATGGGAGCTTGTTCCTCTCCCTTCGGGAAAGAAAACAGTTGGTTGTCGTTGGATCTATGCTATTAAAGTTGGGCCCAATGGTCGAGTTGATCGTCTTAAAGCAAGGTTAGTGGCTAAAGGGTATTCTCAAATATATGGACTTGATTATTGTGATACTTTTTCTCCAAGTAGCCAAAATGACCACTGTCCGCTTGTTCCTTGCCATGGCCGCCATTCGTCATTGGCCTCTTCATCAATTGGATATTAAAAATGCTTTTTTGCACGGTGACTTAGAAGAAGTTTACATGGAGCAACCTCCTGGATTTGTTGCTCGGGGGAGTCTCGGTTTGGTTTGTAAATTACGTCGATCCCTTTATGGCCTAAAACAATCTCCACGTGCTTGGTTTGGAAAATTCAGCTCTATTGTTCAAGCTTTTGGATTAAAACGCAAGTGAAGCAGATCATTCAAGTGTTTTATTGTCACACCGGCCCTGGCAAACATGTTTATTTAATTGTGTACATTGATGATATTGTCATCACAGGGAATGATGCTGCTAAAATATCTCAGCTAAAAGAGCACTTGTGTAGTCATTTTCAGACCAAGGATCTTGGAAATCTAAAATATTTCTTGGGTATTGAAGTAGCTCAATCAAGAGAAGGTATTGTCATCTCTCAAAGGAAGTATGCTCTAGATATTCTAAAAGAGATAGGTATGATTGATTGCAAACCCGTGGACGAGTCCTATGGATCCAAATTTGAAGTTAATGGCAGTGACAGGGTGAAGTTTTCTCGACCTAGAAAGATATAGAAGACTCGGTTGGGAAACTTATTTATTTGACGATTACTAGACCTCGATTTGTCTTTTGCGGTTGGTGTTGTCGACCAATTTATGCAAGCTCCTTGTGTGGATCATTGGAATGCTATCATTCGAATCTTAAGATACCTTAAAAAAGCTCCAGGACAAGGATTATTATATGAAGATAAGGGAAATACCCAAATTTTTGGGTACTGTGATGCTGACTGGGCTGGATCTCCTATGGATAGGCGTTCCACTACAGGCTATTGTGTTTTCATTGGAGGAAATATCATTTCATGGAAAAGCAAAAAGCAAAACGTTGTTGCTTGATCCTCTGCTGAAGCTGAATATAGGGCAATGGCGTCTCTTACTTGTGAACTTGTTTGGGTAAAACAATTCTTGCAAGAATTGAACTTCTGTGAGATTCAATCTATGAAGATGTATTGTGATAATCAAGCTGCTCTTCACATTGCTTCCAACCCAATATTTCATGAGAGGACTAAGCATATTGAGATTGACTGTCATTTTATTCGAGAGAAGTTGTTGACTAAAGAAAGTTGTACTGAGTTTGTTGGTTCCAATGAGCAGCTTGCAGATGCATTAACAAAATCTTTGAGAGGACCTCAAATGGAATTCATTTGTTCCAAGCTTGGTACATTCAATTTGTATGCTCCAGCTTGAGGGGGAGTGTTGAAGTATTTATTAGATTAAGTGTATCTTGTTGGACATTTATGAGATTAGTTGTAGACTTAGTTCCTAGGATGCATCTGTTTATCTTCTCTAAGATTAATCATGTCTCTCTATTAATTGTATCTCTGAATCTTTATTTTTATCTCCTATAAATAAGAGAACACATGAAGATGATTTCATGCTCTCAAAATCAGTTCTTTATTTTCTTTTTTCTATTTCAAGTAACATTAATTAAGATTTCCACTAATTAATTTGAAAACCGTGTGCATTCCAATTATCACCCAATAAGAAAAACAATAATTAACCACAAAAAGTAATTATTGAAAATCTTACATCGCATGTCTCATGTCATTTGGTATGATTTAAATACCTGTTAGGCTACTTCACATATTGTCAATTGGTTTTATTTTGAAACCTTAAAATAATATCAAAGTTAAAGTCTAACATCTTTCCGGTTATTGTCTTGGACCAAGAGTTGCCCTTTCCATGTGAGTCAAAAGTACCCTTTGCCTGGTCTGGCAGACTTCGATGGATGGGGCGTATTGGAAGTCCTACATCGTCTGTCTTACATCATTTGGTATGATTTAAATACTTGTTAGTCTACTCCACATATTGTCAATTGGTTTTATATTGGAACCTTACATATGTTAAATCATAGAGACTAGATTTTAGGCTCTAGTTCTACATTCAGATTTGGTTGCAGCAACAAGATATATTCAAATTGTGGGCCAACTTCAAATTGGCATGATTATTTAAATAATATAACACAGGAAAACAATAATTCATAAAATTGTTTAGAAATATGTAAATAGTAATTTAAAAAATAAGGCATAAGGTACACATGGATAGTAATTACAACAGTTAGTTCCGACATGAAATTGAATAAAAATGTTGAATCACTTAAAGAAATAACAATAAATGGTTGGTAGAAAGCCTGAAACACATCCTCTGGGTATGACTTTTACGGGAAGAAAACTTGATCTTCTATAGAAAACATATAAAATGAAAATAAAATGCTTATTAATGTTTGAGTCATAACTCAAGTAAAATAGAATTATTACTTACTAGTATAATCCAGGAAAAAATGTTCAGGTTTAACCAGAAATCTAAAACAATTTTTAGCACAGCAATCACCATGAAAACATACCTGCTCAGGGGAATCACGAGATTTATTTTTCAGTCGCTCCAAAATGTATTGATTTGTATGATGACGCATGACGTTATCAAAAAACTGAGCACAAGGGAGAAGCAAATGAAACTCACATCTTTTGTGTATGTGTGCATATTGAGCACTGAAAAGTTCTTTACCTTTAAATCTTCCTCCTTCGAAAATGTATTTAGAAATGCAGCTAATATCTCATGGGGTCTCTTTGATGGATCACTCAATCTTGCCCCAGACTTTCTGTCATGACTGTTCAAGAATTCTTTCCAGCCTCCCAGTTTACCCCTCAAGCCTCTTTTTTGTACCAATTTTACAATATCAACCAGCACCTATCCATATTGAAGCACAGGTTATCTTGCTGGGACAGAGGGAAAAGAAGAAAAGGGAAAACAAAAACTAACAAACACTCATGAGATTTCTGCATCCATTTAAACTTGCAGACATATACATCTAAAAGTCTCAGGATGTATTATAATTTATCTAATGACTACCGATGACATCACTAGTTTTTATTATCATCACCACAAGCAAAACAAAAAGGCTGCAAATTTTTGGCAAACAAATGAATCTAAAACTAATCACTAATTCTCTATGAACAGTAAATTAGTCTTTCATCTATTAAATAAATATCTAAGCATACGAATTTAGTCCAATGATATTGATTATCCTCATCACCATTGAAACTATGACAAGAAACAAACACCTAAAACTAAGAGTACATACAAGGCAATTCTTTCTAAGCTGCTTTCTAGCTAAACGAAGGGTGTATACCACGATCCTTAAATCCGCACTATCATTTATCACACTCTGTTGAAAACCTACTGCAACTCATTCGAGTCAGAATATTCAATCTAATATTCCCGTTACAATTCACCAACTAAAATATTCAAATGGGATTCCACAGCATACAGTTCAAAATATTAAACATCTGAGAACACTAAAAACGCAAAAGGTGACCTGCTTTTCAAAGGCGTTGGAATCAACAGAGAACAAACAAACAAACTGGACGATGGAAGTTTACCTTCTTGTCTGCAATCTCTATCTTGTCTTCCATGTTGGTTTGCACAAAATCTAGGTTGCGAATTCACTGCGGAACAGCGTCCAATATCTAGGTTTCCAAAATCTCAGTAATCTCCATTGATGTAACAACTACTTTATCAAAATGCCAACGATAAATGAGGGCAAGAAATGAACATAATACTTTCAAGGAGGAGGAGGTAACCGGTGCCCCTCGCAGTGCAGTGCTCGTCGCTCGTTGCGTAGGGCGTGCGGCGGCGTGGCAGTGTGTGGCGGAGTGTGTGACTAGGGTTCGAGTCAGAGTTGAGTGACGAGAGATTTGAATTAAAATTTTGGCGTCTACGTTAAAATCCAAAAGAACTAAAATTGATTCAGATTTTTCAATATTTTTTACGATATGAACTAAATCAACCAAGTTATTTATATTAACCCTATATTTTACAAATGCGTAAATAAATAAAAAATTATATATATATATATATATATATATATATATATATATATATATATATATATATATATATATATATATATATATATATATATAGATAGACACACGTAGTTGTGTTAAAATTGTTGCACATAATCTTTTATTAATAAGTGTAAATAAATAATAATTAAATATACTACTATACTACAAAACTTTATGTATAAAAATTAATGATAAAACATTCAAATCATTATTTGGATTTATTACATATATAAATCATAAATTGTTGAATAAAAATTTAGTTAGATTTTTTAATAAATTCTAACTAATAAATACTCTACAACCAATTAATTAATTAATGTTTTAAGTCAGTATTTAAAATAAATTTTTAAATAAAAATAATTTTATCAAAATTGGTTTTAGAATATGGAAAATTATGCTTTATATTTGTATTGTATACATCAATTAATAATAAATTTTGATTTATATTTTTATTCAAAACTTAAGATATTACAACTAAATTTTAATTCTAAACTCGAAATTATTTTTTAAATAAAATAAAATATCTAAAAGTTTTTTTAAATTGTGTTGATTATTTTCATAAAGGATTTTTAACTATTAATTTAAATTTAAAGTTTACGGGACAGAATTCGAGTCAAGATAATATATATATATATATATATATATATATATATATATATATAATATTATATAATTATTATGTTGTCCTTATATTTGCTTTATTTGTATGATTTATGTAGTTATTTGAGGCAAGAATCCTATTTTAAGAATGCATTTAAAATATGAGTTTATTATTAATTTTTAAATAAAAAATATCAAAATGAGTGGTTTGTTGTTAAATATTAAAAAATTTCAGTTTTAAAAATATTTGATTAAATTTTTCATACAAATAAAATATTAAACAGATACTTATATTTGATCTCTTGAACATGAATAAAGTAGAAAAATAATAGACCTAAAAAAAACTGTCAACAGTAAAATTAAAAGTAATAAAATTTACAAGATACACTATTAAAATGACATTTCTCATGCTAAATTTGGACAAAGTCTAGTTAATTCTAAACACAAAATAATATATTTTCAATGTAACTTAGCAAATATTGTAGAAAAGGTTATTTTTTTATAAAAACAATTCAACAAGTGAGGGAGGTGAACATTAAAAAGGGTGGATGAGAATAGCAATTTCTAATAACAACCCTAAAAATGAAGGCCCATTGACTAAGTTCTTGAATTGGAGAGTTATGTATTGGGTGAACCATATTCTTTGCCAAGTTTAAATTTTGGCTTCAACTGAAGGAAACCTTATCCACAAAACCTCTCATTAGGGGCTTCAATCACAAAACTATCATCCACAAAAAACTAGTGTCTCCTCAACATTTTAGGTCACCATTCTTCTTCTTCTTCATAACTAGAATGGTGTTCAACAAGAACATTAGAAAAAGGGTCCTTTTGTTTTTCTTTGCCATTAGTCCAATTTCATGGAAGCTCAAGCATGGTGAACATGGAACTTGGTGAGTGAAGTATGGTCTCTCTCTCTCTGTCTCATTACTTTGTACCATTATTCCCTTTGAGATCTCAAATTTAGATTCATTCTTCTAAAAAAAGTTTTATTTTTGTTTTTCTAATATGGAAATACCTCATTTTGGTTCCCAAAATTATTATAATTAACATTTAATGACGGTTATAAACCATTAAAATAATTGTAATTAATATTTAATGACGGTTATAAACCGTCACAAATTTAACTAAAAGTAATGTTTTAAATTAGTATAATAAAAATAGGTTAAGTTATTCAAATTATAATTCAAGTGAACGTGTTCATTAGATCCTCTCATCGTTTTTATATGATTTTAACCAATTAAAAGTTATTATATGAATTATTTTTTCAATAATTTGATTCGTATTGAATTACGGTGTAAAAAGTATATGTTTAAATTATTTTATTTTAAATTAAAAAGTATACATTCTAATTAACTTATTAAGAAGCTTATGCTAATGCTTTTGTAGAAACAGTACCAGGGAAATTTATGTTGTTACTTAAAAAGTACTTTTCATATGCATGTATTTGAGTTCTTTAATAAATAATCTTTTTTTATTGACTGGTAATTTATTTAAACAAAATAAACGTATTTGATTAATTATTACAGAAATATTAATTTAGTTAATTATTGAATTTATTACTTACAATTAATTATTACTACTTTCACTTTTACCCTCAATACCTAATAAAATTCATTAGTTAGTGCTATTAATTTTAACTCTTATGCTTTATTTTTGTTTTTTAATAAAACGTTTGATCTTTAAACAAGAAATTTGTTAAAGAAACTTCAAATATTCAAAGTGAACTGAAAACTCATAATAACATATTGTAATTTTTCATTTATCATTAATTAAAAAATTAATTTTATTGAACATTCTAACTACTTTCACTTTTTTTTATATAAAAATTAACTTCAAAATTTAATTATATTCTCATATAGGTTAACCAAACACAACTATAAATGATTCATTCATGATGATGAAACAATGAACCATTCTCTGTCACCAGCTAGGCCTCAAATATACCCCACATCAAGAATCAATGCTCGAATATTCTCTAATTAATTATTGTACGAATTAGGTTAGAAATATCAACATTGAACATAGACATGAACAATGGGAACATGTCCTTTAGAAAAGTGAAGGGTCACTTTCTCACTACACAAAGCAAAACACATCACATGAATAGGGTCAAAGGGCATAGAAATGAAAGGACCACAATGCACCTCCCAAGTTGCATATTCACCAAAAACATCAAACATTTATATATTTCGTGGCATTCAAGTTCATTATTGCATGCTCCTTATAGAAAACAATGTTCTGAGAAACTATTCTCAGACCATGTGAAGAAAAAACATTTATTTCAAATCATAGACATTTCAGAAATTCAAAAATGAAATCTACCTAATATAGTCGGTATTATATGATAATGTTTCCTCAACAGCATTATTCTTATTATATCTACAGATGGACTAACAGCCAGATCATCCTAGTCTTGCAAAAATCCAGCAGTGACACATTCCAAAATCAATTTTCTTGTCCCTGGTTGAGCATGAAGAACAGCAACAAACAAGTCCTTCAAGGAATTTTAGTTCCCCAAATCTATTGTTTTGCCTGCAGAAATCAGTACAATAAGAAATAAGAATAAGTATACCTACCAAACAAAATCATTATTTCTTAAAGAAACCCACATGTTTGTTTATCTTAAAGAAATGTGTAATCTAATACTTATTATTCTATATGTTTCTAACCCTTCTTTTTCTCAATTTTCCAAGATTCCCCAACCACATGGCAACTACCTTCTACCTTCAGATGCTTTCATTAGAAGCTTCATTGTGATGTTATGAACAATAAGGCATATGCTAAAGTATTTGGTGTGGTCAGCTTTGGAAAGTCTACAAGGTAAGCTAACTCATGTTGAAATTGAGTTGGAAAAGAAATGAGTATTGGTAGGTTCAATGTAAGAACAGAGGAGTTAGGTGGCAATTTCGAGGCTGCTTACCAATAAAACACTGGATCACCTAACTTCAGAATACCATCCATTAGATTGGAAGATAAAACACAAGGTACATTCATAACCAACTTCACCCTCTGAACAACGTTTGTTCTCCATTGCACTCTCTTACCAAATCATCACTCTTCCACATTTACACCAACCCTTTTAAAATTTATCAGTTTGCAGGTCACACAAAATAACAATGCAAAGGGTTCACCACTTTGATGTTCCGGATCACATACATGAGTATCAACAATCACCCTAAACACATTCTCTCTCTAATGGATCCTCAAACCAGTAAAATAGGTAACACTATGAGTGTTTGATGTTTCAAATAAAAATATAATTTTTCTTTTGGTGGTAGTAAATAATATGGCCCCCCAAAATGATAGACATAACAGAATTTAAAAAATGATGAACAGAAAAAATACCTGTGAATATAAGAAGGTTCCAAGGATGGCAATAGCAGCACCAAGAGCATTGACAGGTTGAACTGGTGTGTGGAAGATAATAATTGAAGACACGATGACAGATATACGTTTCATGGTGTTTCCAATGCTAAACGTCAATGGAGAGATCTCATCCAGAGACATGTATGACACTTGATTGTATAGATGATAGAATACACTTTGAGCTGCAACCCACCTGTTGTGTAAAATTGCCAGCCAAACATTTAGTCATAAGATGGAGGATACAAACAACAGAGAACTCAATCAGAATGAAGAAATTGACGTCAGATGTTCGGTTAAAAAGTTGAAACTAAACTGCACTATCGGTGTAAGGCAATTTTTTTTTTTCAGATTGTGTTTAAAAAAATCAGGTATTTGATTTGATAATCAGTTCATCGACAAACACATGATCTATCAGCACGCAAGTCTCAAATTAGCATACATCGAATCTCTGAAGTTAGTTCATATTTTCACCAATGAACTAACCAAGGTATAATAAATATGCAAGCCAGTCGAGTAAAGCTTTTTATACAGAATCTCCAACACTTGAAAAGATGTGAGCATTCCAGTCACTTCAAATAACAAACTATCAAGTTGAACCCCAACAACTTTTGAAAACATTTTACTTATAAAGATGATGAAAAGGCTCGGTATTCTCGATAACTACCAACAGTTTAAGTCATCTTCAAATTGATGGTCAAGAATTGGTACAAGACCACCACCTTTCTCCATACTGTTGTTAAATATGTCATCCAAAAACAAATGAACCCATAGTTTAGGAAATATAAAATATGTTGCATTCCCACATAAGGATAAGAAAAAAGATTCAGATAAAAGATATTTGAACTTTGAATACTAACAACCATATTATCATGAAATTTTCAACATATAACCTTAGAGAGCATGGAAAATAGAGATACATACAAATAGAGATGAGTATGAACATGATAACAACACAATAGGGATAACATTACAGTAAGCAGTCTTCTTAATTACCATATGAGTTGGTTTCCGATCTGAGAGACGGCTGTTTGCCATCCGGCAATCCACATCTGTGGCCCTTCAACAGCAATTGCGAAGGGTGTGAGAATTGCAAGGGACAAAATAGATAAACAAGCATAGTAATTCATTCCACTGACAGACTTTCCCTTCATGCCCTTTTTCGAAAAGATATTACGGAATACAAATGCCAAGTTTGATATCATAGCCCCCATAAAACCTGGAAAAAAGATTAATGAAATTGAAGTCAGGAGTGTGAAGAGCTACTTGAAGCAAACTTTACAAGAAATTGATTCCAGCACAAATAACCTCTAATGACACCATTACTCAAGTTAATCACAAACAAATTACCCTTGTTCTTGATGAATGAACTCAAGGTGTAATAGAAAAACAAAGTGTAGTAAAGGCCAGTTCCCTTAACACTAAAAGAAAAAGGTAATAGCTATAACATAACCCAATTTAATTAAACACAGACAGATTATCTTTTTTCTAGTCAAAATCAAAATTCAAATCAGTTTATAATCCTATCTCCAACTTGTTACTATGCTTAACATCAATACTAAAGATAAACAAAATCCTTCAAAGTACAAAACCATTACCAGTCATGTTGAAATTGAGTTCAGTCACAGCTGCAAGTGCACATCCACCAATGATCGGAAGTAAAGACAGATAGACTGGCACAGGGAAGGTCTCACCCAAGAGAAATCTTGAAACCAGAACACTAAAAGCAGGCTCACCACTCTTGATAATATGTGTAAATGATACTGCAACTTTTGACATACTAACAGTTGCCGCTACATGCCCTATTGTATGTGCAACAGCAACCTGAAGGAGAAACAAAACAGAAACTAAGGTCTCCATCCATTCAAAATGATGCGTAAATAATAAATAAATAAAGGAGAATGACTAAATTGATCAATAACTTTTTTGAAACTATTTTACATGCATACCAAAAATTTAGAGGTTTATCTAGTGTGGAGGAAGAAACCTTGCTGATTGGCAAGCTAAAGTGAAATCACTCTTTCAAAACTTGAAAATTGTCATAATTGATTACCCAAAACATCTCAAAATTAATTCAGCCCAATTCAGCCACCAGGTTTGAATGGAACATACTCAGTTTTCTGTACTTTGTTTTGTTTAAGGAATCAACCAACATAGACACCCAGATAGGTATCTAAAAATTGTTGAAAATAAAAACATTTTTTTCAGAACAAAAACACATGAGCAAACAAACAAAGCTTTCACTTCCTCCCATCAATTTTATCTCATCCAGAAGCAAACAAAAACCAATTCAATACTTACAGGGAACAAAGTCTTCCAAAATTCAGGATCAGTCTTCGGGGCTTCTGCAATCCCAGTGGCCCAAGAGATCAACATCATAAGAGACCCACATGCAAGTGAGAGAGTTGAAGTCAGCCAAGGGTACGGGTAGGCATTCAACACCTTCTTGTTATAAATATTGAACACCACATTCAGAGCCCACCAGGTTGCAAAATATATCCCAATTTTCACCTTTTTTGCAGCCTCTGATGGTGTGTTTGTAGCCTCAACCTCTGATCTATCTGCCTCATAGGCCTCACACCTCCCCAAATCACCCCTTCTTCCATCACTCTTCACTGACACAAAATTTCCACTTCCAAGGGAAGAAGCAATGTGCAGTGGCTTATGCACTGAAACCAGAGATCCCTGACCCTGTTCTCTCGATAAAGAAGGTAAAAACGACCTTGCCTTAACTGGGGTTGCATGTCTTTGCCTCATAAGAAGATCAGAACCACTGATCCCCACAACAGGCTGTCTCAAGGAAGAAATCATCGTAAACGGTAGGCAAAAAATTCAAACCTTTTTGACAAAACCTTCTGGGCCGCTGAAAATTTTGAAAGAGAAAAGAAACAGAGATCAAATCAGAGACACTCTTCAGATACGAGAGTGTGTCTAGGCTTTGATCTTCTGCCCCTCCGAGATCTCGAAAGGTTTATTTATGTCAAACCAAAACACTGCAAAACAACAATAATTAGAATATAAAAAAGTAATTTTTAATAGAAAATTCAATGCAAAATCAAAAGTATAGAAGAAAAAAAAAAAAAGAATGATGCCTTGGAATCTTACCTTTGGAATGAATTGAAAACTGTGAACAGCAATGTGTTTGGTCAAATGATGTTGGTGTTGTGTGTTGTTAATTATCGTACGTATATAAATAATGAAAACAAGTTGAGAAGAAACTGTGTTTGTGGGGTTTGGTGGCGGAAACGTGACGATGAGGGTCAGTGTTCTTACTCGTCTCTCGGGTTTGATGATGGCTTTGAACGAAAATACAAAATATACGAAGTTAACCACTTAGAAATCTCAGTCCAAATTGGAAAATTTCCAAGCAATAACAAATATCACATGTGTGTAAAAACAGTAACAAATGTCACATGCTTATAACAAAAATCTCACATATCTCTGTTTATTTTTATAATAAAAAAATTGAAAAAAAAATAACATGATAAAAAGAATCAGTTTAATTTTGATTTTTGGCTGATATTGTAGTTTGTTTATGATATATAATAAATCTTTTTACATATTTAAAGTTTATAAAAAATTAATAAAAGCAATAGTGTAACTAAACTTTTAATTAATAAATATTTTGAATAATAAATTATACAATACATTAAAATTAAGTTGGAAAAAAAGATATTCAAAATTGGAGATAAAAAAACAGAAAAGATTAAGAAAAAGATCCTAAAAACAATCGTGTTTAAGAAATATATTTTTATTAGCCATAATTATTTAAAATTTTATGTAAAGATGAATTGTTATAATTACTTTATTAAATAGTTATAGATGTAACATTATTATTATAATGTCAATAAATTTATTACATATAATTTACAATTTATCTATTTTATCTTCTTTGTATCTATGTATAAAAGGAGATATCAATGAAAATAATAATTATAGTTTATTTTTAACAATTCACAAGTGTTTGTTTTTCATATATTTCAGTTTTTTTATAATAATAACAAAATATTGATACTTATTATTTGATAAATAAATAAAATACATTAGAAATCAAAAAATAAAAATTATTAGATATATTATAGTTATTATTTTATAATTTTAATAAAACAATTATAATATCTTTTAAATTTTAATTTTAAAAAAGATATATTGCACTTAACAATTATTTTAATATAAGTTTTAATTAATGTTTAATTTATTTCTATTATTAAAATATCATTATAAAAACCAGTAAATAAATATTTTTGAATATATATATATATATATATATATATATATATATATATATATATATATATATATATATATATATATATATATATAGCACTTATTATTTCATAGTTTCAATAAATTTCTATATTTTTTGAAATTTTAAAAATAAATTTTAATAATTTTTTTATTAGTAATTTTTAATTGTCAAACTTCAATAAATAAATATAGCTAGATATATTATACTTATTATTTCGTAGTTTCAATAAAATATTTATAACATCTTGTAATAATTGACAAATATTATTTTTTAAGTATTTAAATCTTTCTATAATATATATATATATATATATATATATATATATATATATTAAGATTTTATGATTTATTTGACGTGACATGTCAATGATATTATGAAATGATTAATAGAAATTATTTTAAAAAATAAATTTATATTAATATGATTATATTTATCGCACATGGTTATATATACATAAAGATATTTACTAAAAATAAAAGTAAAATATATTTTTTTAAAATTTAATAATTAAAATAAATTATTATATTAATAAAAATAAATAACAAAGATAAAGAATAAATATTTAATTCTTAAAATCAATCCCTTTTCCATATTCACAAAGTCAAACATGCACGCGGGTAGATATCTAACAGCCTAATTGCAACAACCTTGGAAGTGAAGACACCCTTCGCATTTCGGTTGGATCTTGTTCCTTGTTTTGGTTTAGAACAAAGATATTGTGCAGTTTTAGGGCTTATGGGTGTGACATGTAAAGATTGATTAGTAGTAACTGATGATGATTCTTTGATTTCTTTTATATGAATAAGTAACCATTTTTGTTGGCCAAATTTCAAGAATGCTTGATTAATGCATATTCTTTTACTTCCAACTTGCTATAGGTGCACACAAGGAAACTAGTAGTTGATGTTAAGTTACTTTCCCATCATAACAATGAATTTCAAATTCAAAATTTGTGTGTTGGTAAGAAATTAAGAACTGCATTTAGTATATACAAGAAAAATACTGGCAATATGATGAAAATACACTTCCATACTAGAAAGCAAAAGTGATAAATTTGATCTATTACAATCTGTTGTATTCTGCAACATAAATCTTGTCAACTCCAAACAATGTCAAAATCTCGATTGAGTGCATGTTTTTACAGAATATAAGTGATGTCGATCGCAGGAAGGTATTATATCTCAAAAATTTGTTCAAACAACTTTGACACCACATTTCCAACAGGGAACATAGCATGCGTCTCTTGAAAAGATGAGTGTCGCATAACAACTGGCATGCTGCTGGAAGATTATTTTGTGCCCTTTGGTCTTTAGAGAACATTGCTTCAATATGCATATAATTCAAGAAAGCAGGCTTTAGTGAATAGTTAACTAAGAATTTAATCAATAAGGACTAAATAGAATTTATACTTCATAATTAAAATGCATTGAAAATTTCCTGGAGATTGCAGAAATAAGGAATTTGCTATAACTTGAATATTTTCATATATGATAACATGTAACATGGATGTTTCTGGATGAATACTAGAGTATGGAGAGACAATGTATGCATTTGTGAATGTACTGTCTCGTTTAACTGGCATCTGAGAAAAAAGCTTACTTTAGCTTTGAATTATTTGGTGCATAATGGTTTCAGATGCTATCATCGTGTTCTTCCATCTCCTCAAGAATAACATATTTGGCAGAAGAATCTTTTGCATGCTCTGCCACTTCACTGGCAACAGCATGGCCCTTATGAAGCTTAAGGTATCTGCATGTTTTTCAAAAAAAAAAAAAAAAAAAAAAACAGAACATATTTAATGGCTAGCATTGAATTGAGCAGAAATATCACTATATCTTTGAGAAACATCAGATTGACTTCGGTAAACAAGATAGTATATGTACAAGAATTACATAGTAGCATGTTGTAATTGGAGCTATCATGTTGTATTATTAGATTGAAAAAGTTGCAGTTCCATTGTTTTACATATAATTAAGGAGTATAACACTGGTTTTACAATATTTTTGTAAGCTTATCTGATAAAGAAATATAATGAGTGTGAAGAAGTTTGACACGAGTTCTTTCTTGTAATTGTGAAAAACAAAAAGTAATATATAAAATAAACCATTTTATTTATTTTTCAACTAAAGTGGAAGAAAGATTCCCTAAGCCATTTGCATGCAAACCGTGCAAACTTATAAATTTGAAATTCCCAAATGAGCAAGCTATCAGTACAAGCAAATAAACTACAAATATCATGCAATAAAATCTTCCGTTCTTCATGCTCTAGCCTATATCTACCTACCCAGCAGGTTTTGGAAGAGGGAATTTAGGTTATAATAATTATTCAATTCAATTACCCCCTCAATGTGGCTGACAGCTTAGAAATTAATACATTTTGTTGTTATCAGAGAATAAATTAAAAGTTGAGAAAAGAATGCACATTTGACTGATTGTTTCTTGCATATGTCCACTGATGACTTACTTGTACCAATTAAACAAACTGACACCAATCATAATAGTTAATAGACCAAATCCTTTCAACAAAGTGAAGTGATCACGGAAGTACAATACTGCAACCTACACACAAACAACATAAAACCAGAAGAGTAAGTTCAAGTAGATGTACAACCAGAAAACCCAGATGTGAGGGGAAACAAACACATCAATTCACCTATTCATTCAATACAGAGCATTATATGAGTAGAAATGTAGAATAAATACATATCTGTTGCATTATATGCATAATGCAAATCTATATATTATGAGCAGATGTTGAAACTCAAGAATCAATTAGTGATCAAGTTAAACTAACATGTCAAAAACTATACTGCAATACAGAATTGACAAATTACCAAACCCTATCAATATAAATGTAACAACTAACTAAAGTAAAAACAAAAAGAACATTTATTTGAAATATTTCAGCTGGATACTAACATCAGAGTCAAACAAAAATATGAAATTTCTCTGTTTTAAGGTTTCTTGGTGTATATGATCCTTAACTAATTGATGCCTTATATGCACTAACAAGTGTCAATAAAAGAGTGAAAATGAAAAACTTGTACAATTCGTTTTGCAAATAAGTAACAGTTTCATGAATACTATTTCTTTTCCCTTTTTTTTTAATTAAAATGAATACCAATGTTTAGCTTAGCAACTATTGTAATGTACATGAAAGCATATGCTCCAAAATGTAATCCTGATACATTTACATCACAGAAGTGGAACTTGGTAACATAGAAATATTTGATTGAATAATAAAATGGGCAGACACTGGATAACTTTATCAGCACATGGTAAAATCATCCAACATATAATTGATACCAATATGGTGACGGCCTCCTTAACAACCCCAGCTATTGTTACTGTAACAGCACTGGTTACAGAGACCAGAACATACTCTGTCAGTACCTGCAATAAGATAAAGATCATAATGTCGGTATGAAGAAAGATTAAAGTTAAGCAAATATATGTTGATAAACAAAAGCCTGTTAAGGACACGTGAATTAACAAGCAAAGTTAACAATAATTAACAAGCATAAAATTGTTAAACAACTCTTTGAGTCTTAGGAGGAAAGAGAAATAAAAGAATATACATGCACCTTAAAGGGAATATACAACCTTACCATAAAAAAGGCAAGTGTGCCACCAAGAAGCATCAGCCAGCAACTTCGAGTAATATGAGTTGAATTATCAAAGTACTTGTTTTCTTGGAATTCATCCCATGGATCTAATGCAAGAGAAAGAAGGGCAGTTGCCACAGCCATTACTGGAGTTACATAGCTCATCAGGGTAAGTGGATTTTTCAGACCTGAAATCATTTGAAGAAAGCATAAAAACATTTGCTAAATATAACAGCACTTACAAAATCTTAACTGGAATGTAAACTTGGGAAAATAAAAATGGATTCAATTATAAATGGAGTGAGAAGTTAGAACGAGGAAAACACTGGAATATGTCAGTATAAAAAGTTAGCTTCACTAAGTCCTTCAAATAAGTCACCACGCTCTATAAGTTTATCAATTCAAGGACCACATCAATGCTTGGAGTGCTCTTTGCTCTCTTCAGCTAATTTTGCTCTTTCCATTTTCTCCTTAATTTCATGGTTTCAAGGAGGATTCCTGCTTCTTCTCCAGTATTTTGTCTTCGCTTCTATTAAATTCTTTTATCAAAGGAAACAGCTTATTTCTTGATGCGTATTTAAATTAACAGTTCCATATGTTATTTTCTAATTATTAACTACTCTACATGAATTAATTTCTTTAGGAGCTTAGTAATCAATAACCTTGTGCTTAAATGTAAGATTCCAGGATTGAAAAATATATTCATTGCAATTAAATTCAGCTTTCAGGTATATTAAGGTAAGGAATCTATCTGGTCTACAGGATAGTTGCTTTGAAATACATTTCCAAGACTTTACTGCGAGGTCCGTATGCAAAGAAAAAACAAGATTCTAATAACTTTTTGGCAAGAAGCCAACTACTATATTAATCTTATTTTTGGATTATAAAATGTACTGTGAAGCAACATAAGTATTTAGTTAATGAGATGAAGGAATAACTAACGAAGAGGACAGTATGTGCATTCAAAAGAAGCTATATCCCTCACTTACAGTTGAAGTCACCATTGTTGATCCATTAGCCTTCTAGCAAGGAGACTCCAACTAATAGGTATACAATTAATTTCATAGAGATGTATCGTTAATCTTCACTTTTTCAAATTGTTTTCTGTTCTTTTGTTTAGGAGGATTGTTTGTCCTCCTTCCTCTTTGAAATTCTCTCTCTTAATCTCAGTAAACTTATTTCCTTTTACACTAAAAAAAAATAGCTCTTAAAATACAGGGGAAGGTAACTAGTTTTCTCAAAGCTTCAATGTCTCAAATTCGTAGGCATAATGCGCCCTTTTCTGATCCAGCAATTTACACTATTTGATCACAGAAACTAAACTAATGTGTCCAGAAAGGGCAACAAGAATACATAGTAACTGAAAAATGAATAAAATGGTAGAAATTAATGTCAGATTTATGAACTGATGGACCAAAACCGCAAAAAAAAAAAAATTATTTTAGATAAGAGAAACAGTTCACCCAATATGTCATAAATTTAATAAGATTAATATTCTCAACAAATTATTCAAGTTATGCAGGGCACATACCGTAGGATTCTTTCTTTCAATTTGGTTTTCAGTTCAACACGTATTGCAAGAATGCAAATCAGGTTCCAATACAATAAAATGAAGCAATGTATCAGAATATATGGTTGACAAAAGCAAGAAAATAAGAGCATGAATGTGTTCGTGTCTGTGTTGTGTACATACACATGTATATATCAAATATACAGAGAAATGACAATGCAAATATAGTACCTGCAAAAGAATCTGAGTCATACACCAACGAAACCCGGACATAACAGCAGCAAGCATAACAAGTACAAATCCCCAGAAGTCAAACTCCGTCTCTTTTGAAACTACAGCACACCAAAATAAAATTAAAGATAGAAGGTTTGAATTCTAACGTGGAATAAACTCCTAAGTCTTATAAAATGCAATTTGAAGAATTTATTGGCTATTTAAATTCTGAAAACATTTTTGTTGATTAATCTTAAAAGTAAATTATGAGAATAAAATGTCTTTCCCAACTTTAACTGGATGCTATTTCATTTTGGAATAGAAGAAAATAAAAAATTAAGAAATATATTCAATGAGGCAAGAAAAGATGGAAACATCCATGATAGCTATCTTGCTTATTCTTGGAAGGCTCCCATGCTCTATAGAAATAGCATATTATAATAGAAACCAGAAATGTAAAAAGGAAACACAAACATAGATTCTTCAATGAATCTCTTTCCTCCCAAATCTTACCACTCAATTCTTGCTTATCCTCTCAATCCTCTCATCATTTCATTTATGCATCCCCCTCCAATGCAGAATGTATCCCACCTCCATGCTACCACATGTACAAGCCATCCCTCCTGCCTAACATCCCTTCCCAATCCGTTCTAGCTCTCTTCAGCCTTTAACCCAATAGCCTTCCTTTTATCTCTTAAAAATTTATTAATAGGGGGATATTTATCATATTATTACTACAAAAGTGAAGGAAGATATAATACCTGTTAGTAATATGCCAACAGAGATGACTAAGATGATGCCTGATAGTTTCAGGCTTGGTGACTCCAACCTTCCAACCAAAATTTACAAACAGATATCAGAAAACATGGATAAATATACATACAAACACAAAATTCATCTTTACCTACAGTATGCGTAACTGAGCATGCAATCATATGAGAGAGAGAGAGAGAGAGAGAGAAAGCAGAGCCAAAAAGTGAAAATAGAGAAATATTAATTGAAATTATTGTTAGCACATTCGCCCACAGAATAAATAACTATTGCTGAAAGAAATTATTAGTGATTACACATACCCAATGCCTTAAGGTTATCTAAGATTTCAGCATAAAAAGTGTTATCATTAATTTGGAAAGCCCACAAATTATCTTACTAATGCATCTGCTTAAATTTTAGAATGTTTAATCTCAAGCATCCACAAGAATCATTTACTCAGAGCGAATACAAAGGCAAAATGACTGGGAATGCACCTGAAAGCAAAAGCAAACAGAAGGAGAAAAATTGGAGCAGCAGATTTACACTGCAAGAGAAAAGGAAAGGTAAGTAGGAAGAATAGTTACTTTCACTAAAATGAGATTAAATATAGAATAAAATCTAATGAGCACTGCAAAAGAAAATAGAATTAAATTAACGCATATTTCATTCTACATGAAAAGAAAATGTCACAAACCATTGTAGCAAACGTGACAGAGATGAAAACTAGAGATGCATTGCTCAAGTTAACATCCATTGCAGTTCCAAAAGCAGTTGGTACAACTGTTAAAGGCAAAGTCCATCTGTGGCATTAGTTGATATAAAAGTTAATGTAATAAGCGGTGAGAAATCTGCAGAAAAAGTGTGCTTCAAGATACAAGGTTACCAAAAAGAAACAAAAGAAAAAGAATAACAGAAAAATTGGCACAGTCAATCACCCTAGGAGATGTTAGATCATTCATATCTCTAGCAAACTTGTGCTTTAATGCATTTAAATGAAAAAGCCAGATACTCAGACCAGTAAGAAACAATAATTGATTATTAAGAAAATATTATAAATGGGAATATAGGTGAGCTTCCAATAGGAAATTATTAGAAAATACCTCATAGTGAATAGTATAAGTCGGAATTTGGTTTTTGGTCAAGCCCAATGAGTTGTGTAAAGGTTTTTGTTTGCTGGAAAATTGGTAAGTATCCATATTGATAAACAGAAGTATGGGAGTAGTTCCACAAAATTTAACGTCAGGTATTTTAAATTTTTGTGTAGAAAAGGGTGATAAGTTGAGCTAATTTGTTTCACAACGTAAACAGACACTCAACCTACAAACATGAAAGTGTAGCATGTTTGATTCGGTCTTTATTTTATGCTACAAAAATTTTACAAGTTTGGACCAAACTTCTGGATATTTGAGTAGAAAAATAACATGAGAAAATAATTCCTATTTTGAGAACAGTTATCACCACAAAAAGCTGCAAATAATTTTAAATAAAAAACTAGCAGTGTAAATAAAACTGATGTCATTCCACATTCGTAGTCCTTGAGTTATACGAAAACATATTACCAAAATGTATCTAGAAGATACAGCATTACATACCTATTCCACATAATAAAGTGGTGGCCAAAGTTAAAACCTATTATAACAAGAATTAGATAGAGGAATTGAAAATTTACCTCTCAAAAAATAATCCCTCCAAGAAATGACAACATTAGTCTCAAACCTATGAGACCAAAACCAGGTGATAAATTTTGATAAAATGGCTTGCATTGTAAAGTGGATAGTATTCATTAAAAAAGGAGCTGGGAACTTTCCCATATGATCTCCCAATAGACTTTTATTATACCTGTTCAAAACATTTTAAAATAAGAAATTGAGGGGAAAAAAGGATTTGCATCATAAATACACCAGCAATGACAAACAGGGTAAACAAGGAACTTACAGGGTCAAAAAGAGACTGAAAGTGTACCACATAAGTATCAAAAACAATGTCTTCAAGATATTTACTATATGAATAGGAGTCTGGGAGCTTTTATCAAATGACTCATCATCCACAGAAATATAGGAAGCAACACCATTTGGTCCTCTTTCAGGCATGTCCTCAATGTCAAAAGTCACATACTTCTCGGATCCATTACCTCTCCGATGAACAGATTCATCATCCATGGTGCCAATAACGTTCATTTGCATGCCCCTCTGCTCAAACTTTTGGTGAAAGAATCTCTCTCTATCTAAAGCTCTGCTCTGCAGCTCATTCCTTTGAGGAATTTGTAACTCAAAATCAGAATCTTCTTCTAAACTAACATCTCCACTACCTAATTGCTGATCCAAATGGATACTTTCATCATCATCACACCAACGAGAAAAGGAAAGTTCTCTACGAATGCCATGACTTAGGATTTCACTGCCAACATCATCAATCCCTGTGAAGACACCATTCTCTGAATCCAATTCACTCAGTACCATCTCCTATTGCATACTGAGTTATATCCATGTATGTACTCTTCCGTCCAACTTATGTTTACTATGGTCACTTGTTACCAAATTCAACAACATAAGAACACTTCAGTGCATAACACAGCTAGTGCATGGACTGCTGTTTAGGCACAGGACCTGCCTCTATATTCCAACCGTCGCGCAGGGACCCACCGATTCTCAGTAAATGAAGATAGGTTCTAATTATTTCAGGCCAAAAAAAAGAACCAGCTCCAGAGTTCTTGGAGGCTCCACAGTAAGGCTTGGATTAAAATAAAGAGTAGAACTTTACCTGAAAATGAACAAAAAGTCAGAATTTTATGGCAGATGGCTAAATCTACCCATAAGTCATAATTAAATCTAAACAAAACCATATTACAATACAATCTGATGAGAAAGAATACAGGAAAACAAAACAACACCTCAAAATTTAGATTGAATGTGAAATTGATTGAAAAAGCAACAAACCCCTCAAGCACCTATTGTCACCGTAAGCCCCAAAACTGTCATAATACTTAAGAATGAAATAAGAAACCGATCAAAACTTTCCTTTGCAACAAAAGAAAAGGTAAATACAAATTCTAGGTTGCTCTGGACTGCCATTTTTCAATCGGCCCAAAATGAGCTCATAGTCCCCAAACGTGAAGCTGAATAAAAAACAATCAATACTTCGATAAAAGCTGAGAAATATAAGCACCCATTGAGCTAAAATTACCTCGTACAAGTAAAACACGAAAAAACTCGATAAAAATGCAACCTTTGTGATCAAAACGGGCTTTTCATCGCACCCATTGATCATAAAATTTAAAATTTAATAAGCAGGAAGCATGGAACTGACCTGGGGATGATCGAGAGAGAGGAAAAAACGAGACAGATCTGAATTTGAAGGCGTTGGATCTGAAACTTGGTTTGAAAGAAAGGTGCGTTAGGCTTTTCGCGGAATTGGTTTGAAGGTTATTGTCTTGCTCTACATCGGAGACACCAACCTGACGTTAACGCTGATTATTATCAATTTATTGCCCACTTATTAAATATTAATCTTTTTTTTTCTTTCTGATGTGTTTGGAACGTATTAATGGTGTAGATTTTGTGGTTTGCGTCCATTTTTTTAATCTTTCATATTTGAAAAATAAAAGCTTTGCTTTCAATTTGAAGAAAAATGGTTTGAACAGGAAAGTGGGTGGAATTGATAGATTAGGTTGAGACAATTTTCAGGTGTGTGTTTGACTGTTGGAAGGTAAAGAATGGAAGATATATATGTTTGAGTTAGAAAATGAAAAAAACAATTGGATGAATTTATTTATTTTTTTTTACTTAATATGATTAATTATAATTGAAAACAAATAATTAAGAATGTATAAAAAAATACACTAAATAAAAACATATCTAACAAGTTAATAGTAAATTTAAGAGTTATTTTATATTTTACTAGGAAAAAATTATATTTTTAGTAAATAACTTTTTTATAAATCATATTTTAGCATCAAATTTTAGTTTTTCATTAATATAAAGTTTAGAGAATTAGGAATTGTTTATCAAAATGCTTAATAAAATATTAGTTACTTTAAATAATTTTCGATTTCAGAATCTTATATGTCATAATAAATATTTAAATTTTTTTATAATTGTTTCATTAAGTAATTTATCAAAATAAATAAATCAAAATAAATAAAAAGAATAAATAATAAAATTTAGTAAAAAAAAATTTAATCGAATAAAATCAATATAGAATTACTTAAAAATGATGGAATATTATAAAAATTTTATATATTTTTTAAAATAAGAAACAATTTATATGAATTATTCTTATTAATGATGTCTTTATTTAATTATTCATTATTAAAAGTTTTTAAAAATGATGAAATATTATAAATTATTTTATATATTTTTCAAAATAAGAAACCACTCATATAAGTTATTCATATTAATGATGTCTTTATTTAATTATTTATCATTAAAAGTTTTTAAAATATAATATAAGATAAAAAAATATTTTTAATACGAAGTAATATAATATTAAAAAAAGATATAATTATAATAATTGGTCAATGAAATTAAAATTACAAAAATAAAATAAACTTATAAATATCCTAAAATATATTTTATTAATAAAATATTTTTTTATTTTATTTATACAAATATATATTTATTTGTCATTTTTTATCAATTGTTTTGAAATTATTCACCCTATATTTATAACTTAATATGTTAAATTAATTTTTTTAAATGAAAAATTCAATTAAAATAAGAAAAGAAAACAAATTTCATGGTACCCAATGAGAAGCAAGGTTAATAAAATGTATATTAAAAAAAAATCAATGTTTTTAAATAAATCTATCTTATTATTAAAATTTAATTCTATTATTAATATTAAAATTAATAAATTTATTCGCGTATTGGTATTCTCTAAATATACGTGATTAAGAGATTATATTCATCACATTTCAGTCAGATAAATAAGTTAACTTAATTACTTTTTAAAATAAATGATATTTTCCGATTTAAAAATAATTTGTTTTAAATAAAGACAACTAATAAATGTAAAATGTAAAAAAAGTTATTATATATTATTTATTTGAATGCAAAATTAGACTTGAAAACATAATTTTTATTAAAAAATTAGTAAAGTAAAATCTCCAAAACCCTACACCGGCTATTATTTTAGTTTCCACCATTGCCCTTATAACTTCACCGATTTGACGACATAAACGTTAATAACAAAGATGCAGATATGTGAGCAATATGTGGACCCGAATTGAAGACAGTATTTTTTATATCTTTTTAAAAAAATATTATTTTTATTTTTAAAATTTAAAAATAGTTAAGAATTACCCTTTTTAATTTTTAAGTAATATATAAAATAAAGGTAAGAACTGTTAAAAAATGTAAAATTTTTCTTATATCTTTCTTTCTCACCACCATTTTGCCTCATAATAATAAACTGAATCTTCTCTAATTTTTCTTCTCGAAGTTTGAACCACACTATAACTCTTATTCTATATTTCTTTTCACATACTATACATGTTTTTGATAATCCACTTTTATTCAGAAATTTACATTTTTTAATGAACTGATTCAGAATGAAAGAACATGAACGAAGATTTATTAAAAAAAAATTGAAATTTGAACCTTATTTTTCTAAAAGAAAAGTTCATTTTGATTTACCTCAAAGTCCAGCACATTTGTCTTATTTTTTTAACTTATATTCTATATTATTTACTTATTATAGATTCTATGAAAAAACAAATTTCAAATATTAACCCTTTAAAATGTATATTCTAATTACTTAATAATAAATTATAATTACGACTTACAAGAGAAATAAACTTGATTCACATTCACTTTTTCTGACAATTTTTTTTTCTTGTTTGTTAAGAATATCATTATTTATAAAAAAAAATAAAAAATTTGACAACTACATTCTATTAATCATCTCATCTGCAACTGATTTCAATAAATAAAAATTTTAATAATTATCAACAATAATTATTTTTATATTATTAAACAGGAACGTTGTTTGATAAAAAAATCAGTTGTATATCACCACTCTTGTAAACGAGTTAATTTTCTGTTATTTTTTCTAAAATCTAAGGTTTAGGTAACCTTAAATATATTTAATTAGAGATTGAAACCAAACTAAGTTTTCCTTAATCCATCAAACTGCAGTTCATTTAAAAGATTTAAGTCAACATGGATGTCTAAGTAGGATTCATACTTTTGACCAAAAAAAGTATATGATTCATACATAATAAGGAGTATTCCAAAGAGACCTGCTAAAAAGTCAGAACAATAAAAATATCTCTTTATGTTCAAAATTAGCCTTTGCATTTACATCATCAGTGAATAAACAAGCAAGTGAATCCCCCCAATCTCCCATGAAGTTGAAGAATATCTTAATATCAGTAGCTCATGACTCAATTTTGGCAAAATTTTAACGTCAACCTGCAACAAGTATTATGCAGAAGCTATGAATTGTTGCTTCAGCTGGAACATGGCCTAATTGTTGGTAACATTCAACCAAACAGAGACTAAGATGTGTGTCGTGTTAATGTAAGATTCTTGATGGAGACAAATGCCACCTTCTTCGGCATAGAATTGAGTTTATCATTGGTAGAAGACCTTGATGATGCATGCAAACCAGGTTGTGATGAAGATTCGTTGATGGAGGCCTTTGTGGTGTCTTGAATTTCTCCTTCCTCACTATATGTAGTCATCTTATTCTCAAATTGTGATGAGTCAGTCACCAAATCCGAATTCATATGATCTATATGACAGGGATCTTCTTTGGCAGCAACATGTGCTTCTACACTCTCAAGCTGATCATCTGCACAATTTACCAAGCCTTAGTTAATGATACCAAAAAATCAAAACATAACTTTGGAATGGTTCCATATATAGCCTCTTTGCAAATATGCAAGGGTAAGGTTAGGTACAATGACCTTCCCTCATACCTTCGGATAAAGAAAAGCCCCACGGGAACATTAACTTTTTTCGTATATACCATGGTAATGCCACAAATAAAGGAGAGAGAAAAGTAATTGTTTTATTTACGTGCTTTGAATACAATTTCATGCATGCTAATCACTTGGAGAAATTATCAACAGTTGGAACACCATATTGTATGCCAAATTGAAAAAACTCTAAATCAAAAGAGAAGTAATGATGACAAGATCAATTCAACACTAATAGTCTTATCCTAGTAGGTAAGTTTGGTCTCATGGACCACGCAATGTCATTGGGTTTGGTTAAAAACTAAATTCTGAATAAAATTATTCATCATGAGATCCCTTATATTAAATTCTTCCAATGTTCTTCTATGGTGATAAGATCAATTTAAATTAATTAATATTATATTGCATTTAATAGCATTCGTATGTTTCATGCCCAAAGATCACAATAATAACTAAATGAACAGAATATTGGCTCCCAATTCTACTAAACAGAACAAGAGAAGCAATTGAATATAAGTCATCAACAAATTATCCAATTCAGTACTTTTTTATATAAAAAACTTGACTGCAAAAATATAGTATTATGAAAAGGACAAAATTGTTTCACACACCAGAAAGACGTTCAATAACAGTCAAACTGCCATAAACTGAACAAACACAATTAAACAGTAAATTAAAGAAGACTTAGAGAATATGTAACAGCAGAAACAAGCACATCACGGTCCTTACCCCCAAGAAACGACTCAATACTATTATAATTAACATTTGATGTTTGGACTAAGACATTTTCATTAGAGTCCTCGGTTTGACTTTCATTCTTCCTTTTCTGCTTCCTCTCAAGTAATATAAACTTGTCTGATTTCCAAACACAATCTAATGTAACAAAATCATCGCTAACAGGATAGTAATCTCTAAAAACCTGCATCAATAGTATGTAACAATTAGGGAGAAGAAAATATATTAGCCTTTAGAATATAATTCTAGATTCATATATGGAGAATTTAGTGGCACAAACTAACCTCAATTCCGTTAAGATTTATTTTTGTTGACTGCTTCGTTGTAGAGAGGGACGAAACCATGTTAAACAATGAAACAACATCAAGCAATATCTGTGCACGGAGGATAAAAAGGCTCAAATTAACTCGATCAACAGAGTATAATTTATGTTTTACCGAATCTAATAATGTCTTTTACCTTCCAGCTAATTTAAGTAGCCCTGCATTAGCTTAGATTAGATAAATTATAACTTAATAAATGATATATCCTAGCTTAAATACATAAACTTGAAAAACTTACTTGTTGAACCAGAACTCGAAGACGTGCAAGCAAAGCCATGAGTGTCAGAGAAAATCCCATAAAAAAAGATTGAGCAAACAATACAGATACCTCACTATTAAATAGTCAAGGAAATAACTTTTATGCTGCAATTTAAGCAGATTCTCATAAAATGTTCAAGAAGAATACTAAATGGCACTAGCGTTATCGACATTAATGGTGATAAAAAATTTCAAAGGTTTGTGTATTCTACTTATCCAAAGTATAAAGCAAAATGATGATTCATGGATACCATAGCCGACCAAAACACTAATAAACCATAACCAATAAAATCAGAAAACAGCTTTCAGAAATGTAAAACTTCAAAATCAACATAATACAGAAATGCATGAAGGGAGGGGGAGGCCAGATCAATATTGGCAAATACGAACTTAGAAGTGCATTATTCAATGAAAATCTTGATCAACCAACAAACATGCAAAGGGAAAAATATCAGCATAAATGACGATGCAAAAAGATAAAACACACAAAAATATTCCAGCATTAAGTTATTATATTGAATCAGTATATGCAAGTATGCTCCGTATGTTTTACAAATAACATTGCCGTTAAAGGGGGGAAAAGCAAATGAAAAAAGTGTACTACAATCCTATTATGGAGCATTTTATATCATATGTATCATTTGGTAACACCAAGAACCAACTGGTACCCATTGTAAGTAATAAAAAAAATTATTAGCCTGATGGCATGATCATAGTATGGTCAATGAATCAAGTATTTAAGTACAAATCACACTATACCAGTAGCAGAAGGATACGAAGCAGCCTTCAGAATTGGTTCAACCATCTGGATGAGAAAACAGAACATAAATTGAAATCAGAGAACAGGTTCCATACACCCAATTTAAATCTATTATGATGCATAGGGAACATTATTTCTATTCGAAGCAAACAATCTATATGAAATCCCCAAGAGAGTTATACTGTATTTGTATGCATGTAAAGAGGACAGCTAATGAGCTAGCATAGTATGTACACATTGATCTTAAGGTGCTGCATAAGGAAAACAATTACAATTTAGAGAAACATTAATCTTGATCTGCAATTTCACCTCAGCTAGTAAGCGTGCAGCTCCTAACAAACGCTCCATAAAATTATACTTTTCACCATCACATTTTCTCCTTTTTAAGCTGTAAAAAAACACTATCATCATCAACAAGACAGACTTATAAATTATAATAACATCCTTTGCTGAAAGGGAAATCTCATCATGGATTAAAAAAAAAAAAAAAAATGAAGTACAACTGTACATGGTCAGTTATGCAAGAGAGAAAGCCACCTCTCACAGGACAGTAATAATCCTTTTCATAGTAATATTCCTGCATCCATGTACAGCATGCAGTTCTGAACATTGATTTACATATAGTCATTTCCCAATTTTACGACATCATGCAAAATGAGAATTTCAAAGTTTTCCATTTTCCTTTTCTTTGCCATGCACACACCACATGTAAGGGAAAGGCAAACAAAATTCAAGATATTGGAAAAAATAAAACCTCGTGTCAAAGTGATAATAAGCACACGATAGGAACGGCTTGAAATATCAGCACAATAAATGTACAACATATTTTAAACACCTATCGTACTTCCTTATCAATTGTCACTATTTTATCGCTAAATTAATTCTTTGAACATGATTTACGGAATACCAAGCAAAATAATTGTTAGAAATAATATAGACCTACCTTTCTAATAGAATAACCTTCTGTCTTGGTTTATCTCCTTTGATAACATGGAGGCACGATGTTACAAGCTCCTCTAAGTTTGTTGATTGGAGAAGTCTTAAATCCCTCCTCACCTACAAATTTCAATACAGAACAAACAAAACCCCCAAAAGACATAAATACAATATTCCACACAAATGCAATCACTTTTAAAAATTGTATATTACAAAGAAAAAAAAACTTTCAGGAAATTGTGAAACATTAAACAATTACATATATTGACTATCGTGAAACTTTAATGCATAACATATAGCGAACCTTCAGTAGACGCTGGAAATAGGAGGAGCGTCGGTGCTGGTTCTTATTCTTGTACACCATTCTTTGTAGAATGCCGAACTCAGACTGGAGTTGGGGAAGCATAGATGTTATTCTTGCCTCAATTGTTTCAAATTCGGTACCCATTGAGCCCCTGCAATTTAATTTAAAAAATTAACACAAATTATGGAATAGTGATACAAATTACTAAGTTAACCGGAAAAATGAAATAAAATGCTATGTAGGAAACTCACCAATACCAAGCTTCCTTTATTCACAAAGCGTTTAATAGTTGTCTTTCTGGTACCTCTACAGTGTTACAACATGCTGCGAATTGGAAAAAATAATGTAAATAATATACTCATAGACAAGGGCTAAAGGTATTTTTGAAGATTATACATTACTTAAAAATCAAACTGTCAATTAATACCTATGGCCAACATCCATCATAATATCATTCCTTCTTTAGCCATTTAAAACAACACGAATGAAAGTACAAAGAATAAATTATGGCAGAATAGAAACTCATAAAATATATGAAGAGCGCAAATACTTTGAATATAAATATAAGCACATCTCACTTTTGTGGCACCCTTTTACCCCAAAATATTTCTCTTTAATAAATAATAAAATGCAAAAAATATAAGGATTCACATATATCATTTCTTCAAATAAAACTCATAAAAATAAAGAAAATAAGATTTCACAGATACAATACTTTTCACCACTAGAGTGACCTTTTTTAATAATAAAACTTCAAAAAAATTTCTCAAAATAAAATTAAAATAAATGCATGATCTTTCGGCCCCAATGTCATATCTAATGAGAACATCCAATAAAATAAAGATAAAAGAAGACTAAATTTCGTCATGCATCTCTTTCTCCTTGCCAAAACAGATTCACATATAAGAAATCAGGTAGAATTAAATCCGCAAATGTTACCTTACCAGTACATATTGAATCATAAACTCACTCAATTAACTCAATACATTAATGCTCTTATATTTGTATACACATGGTACCACACAATGCACACATGCTTGAAGTGGTCTAAGAGTATATGAACCAGATCAAACATACCCTATCAATCCACTTTCTACAAAATTATAAATTATAAGAGAAAATAAAGTTCTATACAATTTTTACAAGACTAAGAAGAAAGAAGAATTTCTTAGTAAACTATACTCCAAAGTAGGAGGGTTTTCTTATAGGCTTCCTCTTCAATCCTCCTAGCCATGGACCTTATTAAGGATCTAATGTGTTGTGTTCTAGATTGTCCTCCATCATTATTAAGTCACCATTATATCTCTTACATCTTGGGTAGCATCTCACTCTCTTTCTCTTATACTTTTATGACCTCTATTCAGTATGATTGAGATATAATATATATATATATATATATATATATATATATATATATATATATATAGTTCTACTAGTCGCATGACATTCATTTTTATCATGCTTCAAAGCTAATACAATTATCTACCATTTATATTTTGATTTCAAAATCTAATTCAATAGTTTACTACGCCTAAATTAAGAAAAAACGCACTTTTATTTTGATTTTGCCAGCATGAGCTTTAATTACTAAAAAATCATATCTTGAGTTATACAAAGTATAATTGTTAGCTAAGTTCTAGGATTTTTACTTTGATGAAGATTATTTTTCAGAATTCCATACAAAACCATGCCTAAATTCCATCGAAACTTTAAGTCATTAAATAGGATTCAAAGATCCTAAAAATATAATACAATTCAATATCTGAATTACAATTTATGAGAATTAAATTCATAACTCTAAAGTTTCTCACTCTTTTATTAAGGACTAAGAGGTTTCCAGTAGAATCTCAATCAATTTACATAAATAGGATCTTAAGATCCTACAAACAATACAAATCAATAATTGAACTATGATTTATTAAAATTAAGTTTAAAATCCTATTATCATAAAATTTACAGAAAACAAAATCTTATTGAAGCTTAGAGGTTGTCACTCTACTTACAAGTCTTATAAACATTCATAGATGAGACATTTTTCACGCCCTCTTTTATCTCCAATGAGGATTATACACAACACTAAAAGATGAAAAATCTAAAAGTCGCTTCCTAAATTCTTCACGTGTCAGCTCCCAAGGTTTTTATCTATGTGTCAGAAACTAAACAACTATTGATTGAAAAGGGAGAAGACCTATCATTTATTTATATACTAACGAGTGAGATTAGACATTTTTTTAACTTTATATTTTTATCTTCATATATTTATCTTTATATTTTTGTCTTCGTATATTTATCTTTCTATCTTTATCTTTGCAAACAAATCGATTAATGATAATAATAAAAAAAATCACAATAAATACAAGAGCAGCTGTCTCACGTTAAAGGATATACTTGGACATTTATAAAAAAAAAAAGAGAATAAGAAATTAACATTACCATATGCAATACCGACTCTTCCCTGACTTGAAAGGCGTTGTTGGTGAAAACTCAAAGGCCAAAGTTATCCATGATAGTTGGGATGCTAGTTCTATTTCTTATCCCACTTTTGGTTTTACTGCTCAAATCAGAAGGGGTAAATAATAAAAAGAAAAACAAAAAATCATCAGGCAAAAGGAAGCATTTAGAAGAAAAGTAGAATATAAAACAAAGCAGCAAAAATCTTCTCCCCCACTAGCCTTCTCACAAAAGCCCAAACAAAATAACAACAACCCAATAAGAATGAATAAGAAAACTCTTAAATCAATGTCAATAATTAGTTCACAAGACAACCGCATAAAATCAATAATTATAATAAATGTTTATCAATAATACAATATTTTTACAGAAGTATATAATTAATAATAATAATAATAATAATAATAATAATAATAATAATAATAATAATAATAATAATAATAAATAAATAAATAAATAAAAAAGTAAAGTTCGCCTTGGCAATTTGGAGTCAGGCAAACATCCTCTCCGACTTTAGGAAAAAATAAAAAGCCTAACCATATAGTCGTGGCGGCAATTGAAGGAATGGAGAAAGAAAGAGCGGAATGGGAAGAGTCGAGACGTGGAAATTCACAACAGAGAAGAGGAAATTCAACGATTCGCTCTCTATAGGAATGTAACTTTGGGTTCAGTAAAATTTGGCTAATCCAAAAAGTAATTGGCAATGCAGGGTCATGAATTTACTAGTAAAATTTGAGTGAAGAATAGAATTACAACACTGTTATGAATATAAGAATTGAATAAAATTGAAAGGGCAAAAACTAATAGCATTTATGACTAATCAAAAACAGAATAACAAATTGAAACTCTCTGTACTCAAATCTCTCAACTCCTACCTCTTGTCTAAAACTGATGGTTCAGGCAGATCGGAGATGGCTTCGCCGGACACTCTCTCGACGGAGAAAATTGCTCACAGCGCTGTTGTTCGAGGGAGAGATAGCCCGCGGCTTCTCAATAACGGCTTTGTGATCAATATACCAAGGTTTTAAATTTTTAGGTTTGGATAAGTTATATGATTTATTTATTTTTTATTATAATTTTGTTAACTTTTTTATTTTAATTTTATTTTCTTTTAGCATTTTTTAGAAACGGATTACATAATAAAGGGGTTTATAATTAAAGTTCTGAAAGTTTTATCTTTTTTATTCTTTGTAAAGTAGTAAAATAAAACTATTTAAATAGTATTTTTTTAAAATGAAAAAAAATAATTATTGAAAATGAAATCGTTAAAAAATATTATTGAAAATGAAAAAGATTACATATATAATTTTCTTATTCTATTTCATCTATAGTTTCAATATTTTAAGACATTTCTCCTTTTCAAAGGAATCCTGTGATTTAAATTTAATATATATCTTATTTTAATTCAACTATATCATAAACTTGTCAAATTCAAAAACTTATAAAAAAATCCAATTAATTAAACACATAGAAATGAAATAAATAAATAAATGTTAATAGAAAATTAAACTTAAATTATATAGTTTTTAAATTAAAAGATCAAATAACTTTATTTTAAAATCAGTACAAAATAACGAGGTTAAAGATTCTCAAAAAAACTCATTAACGTATTTTTTTAGAATAAAATAATGCTTATTTTTTAAGATCAAAATCGACCATGTTTATTTTGAGAACAAAATCTCAACACATCTTAAAAAACAAATAGATATCTAAGAAGTCATATAAATAATTTTAGGTTTAGATATTGAATTTTGAATAATTTATACTAATTTTTTTACTTAATTTTTCAATAGAAGAATTTTAGGAAATAAAATATAATTATCAAATTTTCATAATAATTATCCTCTTAATCATAAATTTAATATTAAATATAATTTTGACTTATCTGATAATAACCCTAACTCATTTAAATAATAATTTTAATTTATAATTTTAATTTAAATAATATATATATATATATATTAACTTTTTATTTATTTATTTATTAAAAACGGATTAGATATAGAGTATTTGTAGCTAAATGTTCTGATAGAAAAGTTTTTTTTTATTATTCTAGTTAAGTAGTAAAATAAAGCCATTTAAATAGTATTTTTTTTAAATAATAATAAACAATTGAAATTGGAATGGTTATAAAAATATTATTGAGAATGAAAATATTAAAAATAAAATCGACCAATTTATTATAGGAACTGATTTTAAATGAGTTAAATATAATTTTAATCTTTATATTTTGTTCCATCAATAATTTTGATATAAATATTTTTCTCTTCAAAAAAATACCTTAAATTTGATTTAATTTTATATTTATATATTATTATTTTATTTCAACTAAATCTTAGGCTTGTAAAATTTAAGAAACTATAAAGAAAATAACTAATTAAAATATAGAAAATAAATAAATAAATAAATAAATAAAAGTTGACAGAAGATTAAATTAAAATTATTCTTTTAAAATTGAAAGAAGAAATATCTTCCTTTTAAACTTAGAGGATTAAAATCATACTTAACGGATTTTTTAACACAACTTATTTAAAAAATAAATTCAATTTTTTAAAATGAGATATCTAATCAAATCAAATATCTTTTTTATTTTAAATTGGACGTATAAAAGTATGAAATAAAAAAATTAAAATTATGCTTAATATATGTTGAGAACAATATTAAATTTTGCATTATTTATTTATATTATTATCATTTATAAGCTTATGTATATAAAAAAGTGGATTTTTTTAATAATAATTTTGGAATCATTGGAAATAAGAAAAAAATATTAACATAAAATATATTCGTGATTTATAACAGAGATAATATAAAAAATAATTATTGTGATTTATATATTTAAAAAAAAAACTAGTAAACAAAAGGAGAGAAAAAGTGTGATATGGGTAAAATGAAAAAAAAATTGAGTATATTTAAAGAGTGAAAAGAAATGACACAATAAAATTAAAAAAAATGTTTTAAAATAAATTAATAATATAAAAAAAATAGGTACATTTAAAGAGTGGAGAAAATAATAAAATAAAATAAAACTTTAAAATATATTTTAAAATAAATTTATAATATAAAAATACAAACACATAAACTGAAGCACATGTGTTTTCACTAGTTATTTATAAAGGAAAGTTATTTATAAAGAAAAATTCTTTTTTATAACGGCTTTTGGTGTGATTGAATAGAAAAAAAGTATTATGATTTATAAAATGAAAGTTAATAAAAAGAAGAAAAAAAATTCTTATTATTTATATATTTAAAAAATTAATAAAAAATGAGTGAGAAAAAAAGTTTGATATGATATAATGAATGGAAAAGAATATTTCTTATGTATTTAAAAAAGTGGAGAGAGAGAAAAATTTGTCATTATATTTATTATTGTATATAAAATAAAAGTAATTATTATGCATTGAGGGAAAAAAGAAAAAAAAAAACTGTGATATAATAATAAAAAGTGAAAAAAAAAGGTCTTTTAAAGGAGGTGAACACTAAATAAATTTTAAAATATCTTTGAACATAATTTCACCCTGGAATCAAATTAGTTAAAAGGGTAGGTTTATGAATTGATATCAAAATTTTAATAGATGTCTAAATAAGAACATACATGTCTGTGAACAAGGAATAAAAGAAAATAAAAAGACTAACTTTTAACAAAATTACTATTCAAATTACATCATGCTATTTAAAATAAATTAATAATTAGAAAATTTGGACACACTATTTAAATATTATGTATTTAAAAAGGCAGAGGAAAAAAATGTGTTCTATTAATAATAGAGAAAATTTAAAATGTGTTTCTATTATTATATATAAAAAGAGAAAATTTAAGATGATAGTATATATTTAAATAATGAGAAAAAAAAGTGATAAATGATAAAAGAACGAAATAAAATTTAGAGAACCAATAATGTTATGTTGAAAATAAAGTAAATAAAGACTTAAAACTTATTAAAAGTGTGCAAACACAAGTTCCCACAACCACAAATTATGAGATAAGTTTTAACAATTTGACAGACCTTAGGGTAATATCTCTTTAGATTGTAAATATGCTTACTTCATTAGGTCCATGATCTTTCATAATCATTCATTGTCATCCTCCATGTAAATTATGTTGATATGAATTACATCTCATTTTTAAAGCCTAATATTTTTATTAGTTAAATTAATATTTTTTATGTGGGACTTGAGCATAGTACTTTTTAGTGGTCAAAAAGTTAATATGTGTTTCAAAAGAGAATTTTATTATAAAGATTTTTCTCCAAAACTAGTTCTCCAGTTGATACGTTACAAATAGGATTGATAATATATATCTTTAACTCCAAAGTCACTAACGAATTGAATGTCCAAGCTTAAAAGGAAATCAAAGTCTATTATAATCAAATATAAATTAATTTCGAAGTTGAGTTTTTTTGCCTAAAATGAGGTTTAAAAGTGATTCTACTCCATTATGTAAATTTTGTAATTCATATTGTCATCAAAATAATATATTAAGATTATTACTCTTTTAATAACTCTTCCTCTTTTATTTCATTATATATAGTTTCACTCTTTATATTAAAAAAACTATCCAATAACCTTATTAGGTATTCTCCAATTCTAATCATTAGTAAAAGAATGGGAGAAAAATATACGTGGCAGAGATGAGAAACTAAATAATAAGTAAGACAAAATTTCCTAAATGTTAGCATATTAAGTGGATTTACCTAATGAAAGAAGGATTTGCCTCAATGAATTGTTGATCCATTAATATGACACAACTTATTTGTACTTGAATACATACTTTTGTAGCTTAATCATAAGTGTTTTTCTATTTTATCAATCATCTTAGACTTGTTATTACTAATTCTTGTGGTCATATACTTCATTTAACAATTCAAATGTGTTTTTAAGATTTTTTTATTCATTTGTGTATAATTTATAGTTAGCTTAACTATTGATCCTAATAGATTTATTTCATCATTCAATGATTTTGTTGTTTAGTGAACCACCATCTCTGTAATGGAAGTTAATGTTCTAAACCTTAAATTTTCATGATCATGCACTTTATTGTCTGCTTGTAATTTAAGAAGTGATCATGCATTTTCACGACCTTGAATTTCCAAACATTTGACCTTCTTAATCTTTTATGGTAAAAGTAACAATTTTCCTTTCTACTTTTGTCGAGTTGGTTATGACTTTAATAGTGAGTTGTTGTTTTTTTTTATCAATTATCACATGTTATAGGATCTTTGATTTCTACTTGTGACTAACTATATATTCAAAAATTTTAAATAATCATATCTTGGAAAACATCTAGTAAGTTCCACTAGTTAGAAAATTCTTTAACAAAATTAAAATATAAGATAAAACATAATATTGATCATATATATATATATATATATATGGTCATAAACACATTATTTCCTTATAATGTTCTCATATAAATTTATGGTCAAATATATGTTTAAGGATTGACCTCTTCCTCTTCTTATGGAACTTAATAACAAAGTTTGATTTAATATAAGTAACACACAATAACATGTTCATCACCTATTCACTCACCATTAATGAAAGTTACCATTTGATTGATACACTTCACCTTCTATAACAAGAAGAGTAAAAACCAACCATATATGTGTGGAATAAATAACTACTTCCTCATTAAAAAAATACAAACATCATTTATCATTCATTTTCTCTAGTCCTTCAAGGGTGAAGACATTATGTTTAAAAACCATATTCTTTATCAAACAAAATGTAGGAAAGTTTACAACTTAATGAAAAATAGTTAGCATTGACCTAATCATACTCTTAATTGAAGAAAACATAAAAGGGAAGTGAAAACTAAATAATTTCTAAAAATATTTTTGGAAATAATCAAGTATGATACACGAGATATAACTTTTATGACGAAGCTTTCATCTAGTAGTCAAGTGAACAAACAAAAACAAGAATACTAGTTTCCATAAACTAATACCAACCACTATTCAAGTTGCACCACACTATTTAAAATAAATTAATAATATAGAAAATGTGGACACATTATTAAAAAATTATGCATTTAAAAAAGGAGAAAGGAAAAAAATGTGTGTTATTATATATATATATATATATATATATATATATATATATATATAATTAAGATGATACTATGTATTTAAGAGAAAGAGAAAAAAAAGGTGATAGAATAACGTAAAGAACAAAATAATATATTTCCAATATCAATAGGAGAAATTAGGCTCAATAAAAAAACTAAACAAAATATTTCATCAAAATTTAGAGCAATAATAAAAATACATTTAATAAAGTAAAAATGTAACAAATTATGAGACAGAATGTAGGATAACACCCCTTCAAAGTGCAATGAGAGTCAATTTCCAAGGTCATGATCATCCATTGACCTAGTCCAGGTAAGTATGTTGATATGAACAACACATCTTACTTTTAAAACTTAGTATCTTTATTAGTTAAACTCATATTTTCCATGTGGAACTTGAGCATAATATTTTTAAAGTGGCCACAAAGTTACTATATATGTAAAAAGAATGTTTTACGAGAAGGATTTACCTCCAAGGCTAGTTCCCTTTTGATACACTACAAATAGGATTGATATCATATATCTTTCACTCCAAAATCAGTAATGAATTGAATGTCCAAGGTTCAAAAGAAATCAAAGTCTATCATAATAAATAAATTAATTTTCAAGTTAAGTTTTTTTTATTTTTTTCCTAAAATGAGGTTTAAAAGTTATTCTACCCCATTATGTAAATTTTATAACTTAAATTATTTTAAAAATAATTTTTTATGATCATTACTCCCTTAATAACTCATCCTCTTTATTTCATTTCAATTTCATTGTATCTAGTCTAACTCTTATATTTAAAAAAAAATTATTCAATAACCTTATAAGGTATTCTCGAAATCTAATCCTTAGTAAAAAAATGATAGAACAACATGTGTCATTGATAAGAAATAAACAATAAGTAAAATCAAAACAAAATTTCCTAAATATTAACATATTAAGTGGATTTACCTCGAGAAGGAAGGATTTGCCTCCATGAATCTTTGGTCCATTAATATGAACAACTTATCTATAGTTGAAGACATATTTACTTTTGTAGCTTAGTTATAATTGTTTTTCTATTTTGTCAATCATCTTAGACTTGTTATTACTAATAGATTTATTTCATCATTCAATTGTTTTGTTGTTTACTGAACCACCACTTGTGCAATGAAAGTCAATGATTTAAGAAGTGATCATGTATTTCATGACTTTGAATTTCCAAACATCCAAGCTTCTTAATCTTTCGTGGTAAAAGTCAAAATTTTCATTTCTACTTTTGTTATTTGGTTATTCCTTTAATAGAGAGTTTTTTATTTATTTATCATTTATGACAAGTCGTTGACATCAATTTGTAACTAACTAAATATTCAAAACATTTAAACAATTGTATCTTGCAAAACTTCTAGTAAGCTCCACTAAGAGTTATTAATCCCATATATACTGATGGTCATAAACACAATGTTTACTTATAAATTTATGGTCACATATGTTTAAGAAGTGACCTTTTCCTCCTTGTGGATCTTAATAACAAAGTTTGATTTAATAGTACATGAACAGTTATTCACTCATCATCAATGTACGTTACCATCTAATTGATACATTTTACCTTCCATAACTTTTTTGGCATAAGAGTAAGAACCAATCATGTAAGTGTGGAATAAATAGCTACTTCCTTATTAAAAACTACAAACATCATCTATCATTCATTTTCTCTAGTCCTTCAAGGTTGAAGATATTATTTTGAAAAACCATACTCTTCATCAAACAAAATGTATAAAAGTGTATAACTTAATGAAAACTAGTTAGCATTGACCTAATCATACTATTAATTGAAGAAAATATAGAAAAATTGACAACTTAGTGAGGATATTTGTATAGAATGTAAACATAAAAAAGGAGTGAAAACTAAATAATTTCCAAAAATATTTTTGGAAATAATCAAGCATGATATACGGATATAACTTTTATTACGAAACTTTCATGTGGTAAACAAGTGAAGAAACAAAAACAAGAATACTAGTCTCCATAAAGTAATGTCAACCATTATTCAAGTTGCATCATGCTATTTAAAATAAATTAATAATATAAAAAATTTAGACACATTATAAAAATATTATGTATTTAAAAAAGGAGAGAGAGAAGAATGTGTGTCATTATCTATATTATTATTATATATATATATATATATATATATATATATATATAAATTAAGATGATATTATGTATTTGAGAGAGAAAAAACAAAAAGGGATAGAATGACAAAAATAACAAAATAATATCTTTCCATTACCAATAGGAGAAATTAGGCTTAACAAATGAAACTAAACAAAATATTTCATCAAAATTTAGAGCAACAATAATAACATGTTTAAAATAAAGTAAAAATGTATAAAAAGATTTAAATCTCATTAAAAATGTATAAAAAGATTTAAATTTCATTAGAAGGGTGTGCACGAACATTGACTCCCAATAATCACTATAAAAAGATTTAAATTTTAGTAAAAATGATAAAAAGATTCCCACAATCACTATAAAAAGATTTAAATTTTAATAAAAATGTATAAAAAGATTAAAATTTCATTAGAATTAGAAGGGTGTAGCGCGAACGCTAACTCCCCACAATCACAAATTATGACGTAGGCTCTGTCAATTGGACAGACCTTAGGAAAGCATCCATTCAAAGTGCAATGAAAGTCACTTCCCTAGGTCATGAACATTCATGATCATCCATTGACCCCGTCCAGGTAAGTATGTTAATATGGACAATACATCTCACTTTTAAAACTTATTAACTTTATTAGTTAAACTAATATTTTCCATGTGGGACTTGAGCATAGTATTTTTAAAGTGGCCACAAAGTTACTATATATGTAAAAAGAATGTTTTATGAGAAGGATTGATATTATATATCTTTAACTCCAAAATCAGTAATGAATTGAATGTCCAAGGTTCAAAAGAAATCAGAGTCTATCATAATTAATAAATTAATTTCGAAGTTAAGTTTTTTTTTTTACCTAAAATGAGGTTTAAAAGTTATTTTACCCCATTATGTAAATTTTGTAACTCAAATTGTCATCAAAATAATATTTTATGATCATTACTCTCTTAATAACTCTTCCTCTTTATTTCATTTCAATTTCATTGTATCTAGTCTCACTCTTTTTTTTTTTTTTTTTAAGAAATTATCCAATAACCTTATAAGATATTATCGAATTCTAATCCTTAGTAAAAGAATGATAGAAGAACATGTGTTATTGTTAGGAAATAAACAATAAGTAAAACCAAAACAAAATTTCCTAAATATTAACATATTGAGTGGATTTACCTCGAGAAAGAAGGATTTGCCTCCATGAATCTTTGGTCCATTAATATGACATAACTTATCTATAGTTGAAGACATACTCACTTTTGTAGCTTAGTCATAAGTGTTTTTCTATTTTGTAAATTATCTTAGACTTGTTATTACTAATTCTTGTTTTCATATACTCCATATAATAATTCAAATGTGTTTTTAGTTTTTGTTTTTCTTTATCACTTGTGTATAATTTATGGTTAGCTTAATTATTGATCCTAATAGATTTATTTCATCATTCAATTGTTTTATTGTTTACTGAACCACCATTTGTGCAATGAAAGTCAATGATATAAGAAGTGATCATGCATTTCATGACCTTGAATTTCCAAACATCCAAGCTTCTTAATCTTTTGTGGTAAAAGTCAAAATTTTCATTTCTACTTTTGTCATTTGGTTATTCCTCTAATAGAGAGTTTTTTATTTATTTATCATTTATGACATGTTGCTGACATCAATTTGTAACTAACTAAATATTCAAAACATTTAAACAATTGTATCTTGCAAAACTTCTAGTAAGTTCCACTAAGAGTTATTGATCTCATATGTACTGATGGTCATAAACACAATGTTTACTTATAAATTTATGGTCACACATGTTTAAGAAGTGACCTCTTTTTTTCTTGTGGATCTTAATAACAAAGTTTGATTTAATATAAGTAGCACATGATAACAAATTTAACACTTATTCACTCATCATCAATGAACATTACCATCTAATTGATACATTTTACCTTCCATAACTTTTTTAGCATAAGCGTAAGAACCAATCATGTATGTGTGGAATAAATAACTACTTCCTTATTAAAAGCTACAAACATCATCTATCATTCATTTTCTTTAGTCCTTCAAGGTTGAAGATATTATGTTGAAAAACCATACTCTTCATCAAACAAAATGTAGAAAAGTGTATAACTTAATGAAAAACTAGTTAGCATTGACCTAATCATACTATTAATTGAAGAAAATATAGAAAAATTGACAACTTAGTGAGGACATTTGTATAGAATGTAAACATAAAAAAGGAGTGAAAACTAAATAATTTCCAAAAATATTTTTGGAAATAATCAAGCATGATATACGGATATAACTTTTATTACGAAACTTTCATGTGGTAAACAAGTGAAGAAACAAAACCAAGAATACTAGTCTCCATAAAGTAATGTCAACCACTATTCAAGTTGCATAATGCTATTTAAAATAAATTAATAATATAAAAAATTTAGACTCATTATTAAAATATTATGTATTTAAAAAAGGAGAGAGAGAAAAAATGTGTCATTATCTATATTATTATTATATATATATATATATATATATATATATATAAATTAAGATATTATGTATTTGAGAGAGAAAAACAAAAAGGGATAGAATGACAAAATTAACAAAATAATATCTTTCCATTACCAATAGAAGAAATTAGGCTTAACAAATGAAATTAAACAAAATATTTCATCAAAATATAAAGCCACAATAATAACATGTTTAAAATAAAGTAAAAATGTATAAAAAGATTTAAATTTCATTTGAAGGGTGTAGCGCGAACGCTGACTCCCCACAATCACAAATTATGACATAGGCTCTGTCAATTTGACAAACCTTAGGAAAACATCCCTTCAAAGTGCAATGAAAGTCACTTCCCTAGGTCATGAACCTTCATGATCATCCATTGACCCCGATCCAGGTAAGTATGTTAATATGAATAATATATCTCACTTTTAAAACTTATTATTTTTATTAGTTAAACTAATATTTTCCATGTGGGACTTGAGCATAGTATTTTTAAAGTGGCCACAAAGTTACTATATATGTAAAAAGAATGTTTTATGAGAAGGATTTACCTCCAAGACTAGCTCCTTATTTATACACTACAAATAGGATTGATATTATATATTTAACTCCAAAATCAGTAATGAATTGAATGTCCAAGGTCCAAAAGAAATCAAAGTCTATCATAATTAATAAATTAATTTTGAAGTTAAGTTTTTATTTTACCTAAAATGAGGTTTAAAAGTTATTCTACCCCATTATGTAAATTTTGTAACTCAAATTGTCATTAAAATAATATTTTAAGATCATTTACTTTCTTAATAACTATTGGTCTTTTATTTCATTTCAATTTCACTGTACCTAGTCTCACTCTTTATATTAAAAGAAATTATCCAATGACCTTATAAAGTATTCTCAAATTGTAATTCATAGTAAAAGAATGATAGAAGAACATGTGGCATTGATAGGAAACTAAACAATAAGTAAAACAAAACAAAATTTCCTAAATATTTACATATTGAGTGGATTTAGGTCGAGAAGGAAGCATTTTCCTCCATGAATCTTTGGTCCATTAATATGACACAACTTATCTATAGTTGAAGACATACTTACTTTTGTAGCTTAGTGATAAGTGTTTTTCTATTTTTTCAATCATCTTAGACTTGTTTTTACTAATTTTTGTTTTCATATATATACTTTAAATTAATAATTCAATTGTGTTTTTAGTTTTTTTTTTCTTTATCACTTGTATATAATTTATGGTTAGCTTAACTATTGATCCTAATAGATTTATTTCATTGTTCAATGATTTTGTTGTTTTGTAAACCACCATCTCTGCAATGAAAGTCAATGATTTAAGAAGTGATCATGCATTTCACCTTAAATTTCCAAACAATGAAGTTTCTTAATTTTTCGTGGTAAAAGTAAAAATTTTCATTTCTACTTTTGTCATTTGGTTATTCCTCTAATAGAAAGTTTTTATTTTATCACATGTTGCGAGAATCATTTTGTAACTAACTGAATATTCAAAAAATTTAAACAATTCTATCTTGGAAAACTTTGAGTTCCACTAGGAGTTATTGATCCCATATATACTTATGGTCATAAACATATAATTTCCATACAATGTTCACATATAAATTTATGGTCACATATATGTTTAAGAAGTGATCTCTTCCTCCTTGTAGAGCTTAATAACAAAGTTTGATTTAATATAAGCAACACATGATAACAAATTCATCACATATTCACTCATCATCAATGAATGTTACCATCTAATTGATACACTTTACCTTCCATAATTTTTTAAGCATAAGAAGAGGATGAACCAATCATGTATGTGTGGAATAAATAACTATTTCCTCAAAAAAATATAAACATCATCTTTCATTCATTTTCTCTAGTCTTTCAAGG